TTTTTTTTAACAAAGATTCAGGCTATAGATGGGCGAGATAAGACCAAGGAATAGCTTAGAGCCAGGTTTGATGAGAGAGTCAGGCAAGACCTGATACCTGATACAACATTGAAAAGGATCCAACTCCAGATGCGGCGATTAGCCTCACGATCATTGGATGGGGCTAATAATAAAACAAACCAGAAACCCAACCACGCCAATACGAGGTCCAAAAAGACCTGAGAAATGCAGGTGAATCGCGTTTCCGATTGCGGTAAGAGAAGACTTGATAAACAACTGAGTCTCTTTTTTCGTCCTTTCCATTCCTAAGTGGCTGCTTGAAACTCCACGTCTCCTCTGATGCACTGTTATCATCCGTATCCGTCAGGTCTTTGAGAGAAAACCCCTGTTGCTCGGCGTTTAAATACGACAATCGATTGGAGTTTCTACACCCGTGGGGAAAGGGCAGAATGCTAAGGCTAAAGGTAAGGGTTTGGATGAATTCGTCAGGAACAAATTGGGCCAAGATGATCGGGGGACCCGAGTTCCGGTGGCCGCGCGTTGAGTTTATTTCATTTAATTCTAATCAATTATTAACTGCCTACCTACCCAAGTATGTTCGGATATGCAGTACCGTATACTATACAGTATGCCTAGGTAGATGCATTTTTGTATGAACTGGGCTTGTATTGTTTCACCAACCGTAGCCACAGGCTTTGGCTGCACTCATCATCGGCTGTCATTGTTCCACGGCTCACTCGGTAACCGGTTGCAATTGTTTTTATTATTTCTTCTCCCCTTAGAACAAAGCATGATTCATTTTGTTTGGCCGAAATTCTTGAATTGAATTGGGCTGAGCTGATCTGGGCTGAATTGACCTGAGCTGAGCTCGTGTCAACGCCAACCTGGAACATCCCGACTTTGGAACATGTTAATCATGCTTTGTTAGAAAAGTCCATTTTTGACTCTGAACCATTCTATTCCTTCTTTCAGAACTCTCATCCTTATTCTTCTAAAGTAATTGCTTTTATCTAAGGTACCTACTTATTCAAAGCCCCGAGGCAATCATCTCATTAGGTGCCCCTTCTCCTCTCCCTGTCCAACCCAGTCAATCATTTCGTTACTGTAATTGCAGTAGCAACTTCCCTAGAAATGGCTCCCTGGTTGAGTCGCCGTGGGTCCCAGCCCAACAACAGCAGCAACTCTAACAGTGACCTCATCACCCGAATTCACAATACTGCTTTACATACGCCAACGACACTGCCTGCACTTTACTCGAATAATCTACAGGCTACTACCGGTAACGGCAACCGCTTCGAGCTCTCCTTCTCTAATACCAACGCCGATTCAAGTTCCGACGAGTCCGACTTGCATCCCTCGAGGCCTTCTTCCTCCAAGCCTCAACGACCTCCACACACGCGCTCTATGAGCCAGCCCTTCCCTTCTCTTTTCAGCAGCAAGAAAAAGAGGCAAAACTCGGTCGGCGCACCACCGCCCGACCTGGGCTTTGCAGACGATGATGCAGTAATGCCTCGACAAGCGCCCAAGACGCATGTTCGAAACCCTTCGCAGAACGGAAATGGCCCTGCAGGAAACAAGGATTTTGCGACGGGGAATTGTATGACATGCGGATCGCTGGTGCGCTGGCCAAGGGAGCTCAAGGTCTTCAAATGCACCATTTGTACTACGGTCAATGATCTAGAGCCCTTGAGCGCAGACCATGATATTTCCAAGGCGCGCAGGGACGCAAACAATGGGCCTTCTCAGCCCAGTCCACCAAGAAGTAGGCCATGTGGGAAAGAGTGTAAGATCAATGCTAATAGCCATAGTTGCGCATATCTCTATCGAACAAACAAAGCGACTGGTCCATCAGTCGATACAGTCCTACCTAAACAAAAAGCTGCATCCAATCCCGAAGCCTCCTACCGAGCCGCCACCTGAGCCTCCCGTGCAGAGCAAATTGTCATTTAGCAGCCGGATGCAAGCGGCTGGTCGCAGTCTTGCGCCGATAGATTCAAGGAAGGATGCAACACCTTCCAAAAAATCACCTGCCATACAAGTGTCCCGTTATACATTTGACGAGGAACCAACTTTGCGGGCGAACAATGTGCGGACAAATTCTTCGCCAATGCCTCGCTCATATTCCTCATCTTATACGGAAAGGCCACCAGTGCAGAAGATACTACAAGACAATGCGCCCAGAGAGGCAAGGAAACCTTCTCCAGACACGCCCGAGAGTGACCCGAAAAGGATTTTCAAGGCTCTAGAAGATTATATGGTTGCCTGTTTTGGTTCGTTCGAATGTATCAATTCTTCATTCTCAACGCACCCTCGTCCTGCAGCAAGGCATGTTAGCGAAGCGACTCGTCGCAAGCCAATGCCGTCCGATGACCCACGGGAGCAGCGAGGGCACCGCCGGGCGCCCTCAGAAAACCATGCCCTTCGCGAGCAACGACAGGCGCGGACGGCCCCGCCAGTTGAAGACAGCACGTTTGATCTTGATCCAAAAATGCTACTACTTGGGGATTTCGCTGAGAATGGAACTTGGTGGATGGGAAACCAAGAAGAATCACGACCCCGACGACCTTCTGCACACCGAACCGATCGGAGTTTTTCTAACACACCAGTCAGCACAAAAACGCCACAAATGAATTGGAACGACTTGATGACATTCTACACGAGTACTGTGAATCCTGCCAAGGGTTGGTTTGCAGTGTATGAAGACCTCTGTCGCGACCAGAACTTTCAGACACCTCCACAGCGTGAATTGCAATCGATAGAGCGAGAATTATTACAGGGACAAGAACATGCTCGCCGAGTTCTGCTCAAGGCAACAGAGATGCTTCTAAAACGGCCCGGGAGACCCCTGAAAGACCCGGCAGATTTGCGATTTCTCCTCATAGTCCTGGAAAATCCTCTCTTACACGAGAACGAACCCCTTTTCTATGGGATCCTACAACCAGAGAACAACTCACCTTCCTGGGCCGATTTCTCCCGACCAAGAAAGACGAGTGCCCCTGAAACTGGTCTCTTATCTGGACAGCATTCTGGAATCATCAAGCGTATAGTGGGACTCATATCAAATTCCTCGCCTGAATGCCATAATCAGTTGATCACCTGGTTCGCTAGACATCATCCTTCTCGATTTATCAGAACGAAGGAGATTGCATCCGGCTTTCTAACCTACCGCATGATACGACAAAGTGGGAAAAAGCAAGAGGTCAAAGTAGACATCACCGCGGGATTGATACCTCAAATGCAAGAAGGTCGCTCCGGGGCCTATCTTTACGACGAAATTAACCGTTCAACCTCATCAAAGAAGGCCAAAGAGCCTGAAAAGAAAATCATGTATGGTGAAGACTGGCAAATCAGAGCTTCTTCTAGAGTTTTGGCACTCCTTTTTGCCGCCAACAACTTGCTACACGGCAGAAGAAATGAAGAGGTACCCTCAGCTCATTCGAAGTCTGGTGAAGGACGTTCTGGCGCACATCATCACGGGCAGATACTTCCAACAACTGACTTCTACAACTCAATGATTGACTATACCGATCTAGTGGCGGACTTCGAGAATTGGGAGTCCCGCAAGAGCAAATTCACATTCTGCCAGTATCCGTTCCTTTTGAGTATCTGGGCGAAAAATCGTATCCTGGAGCATGATGCCCGTCGCCAGATGCAGAGTAAAGCGAGAGATGCCTTCTTTGATAGTATCATGAGTCGGAAGGCTATCAACCAATTCTTAGAATTGAATGTTCGTCGTGACTGCCTCGTTGATGACAGTCTCAAGGCTGTCAGTGAGGTTATTGGAAGTGGTAGCGAGGACATCAAAAAGGGCCTCCGTATTACTTTCAGTGGTGAAGAGGGCGTGGACGCAGGTGGTCTACGGAAAGAATGGTTTCTGCTTCTTGTCAGAGAGGTCTTTAACCCCGATCATGGTAAGTGCAGCAACTTCACTATCTATAACTCGAGTTGACGTTTGATAGGGTTATTCCTTTACGATGAGGACTCGCAGTATTGCTACTTTAACCCGAACTCCTTCGAAACCTCGGATCAATTCTTTTTGGTTGGCGTCGTGATGGGACTTGCCATCTACAACTCGACAATCCTCGATGTGGCCCTACCTCCTTTTGCGTTCCGCAAGCTCATTGCTTCTGCTCCCACCCATGGGACTGGAGCTTCAGCTCATCCGAAACCTCCAATGCGTTACTCGCTGGAAGACCTTGCCGAATACCGACCTCGGCTGGCTCGAGGATTACGGCAGTTACTTGAATACGAGGGAAATGTGGAAGAGACTTTCTGCCTTGACTTTGTTATTGACATGGATAAATACGGTATCCAGGTCCAAGTTCCCCTCCGTCCTGGGGGTGAACGAATTCCTGTCACAAATAGCAATCGTCGAGAGTATGTGGACCTTTATGTGCGGCACGTAATCGACGTGTCCGTGACAAGACAATTTGAGCCTTTCAAACGAGGCTTTTATACTGTATGCGGAGGCAATGCCTTGTCTCTGTTCCGGCCAGAAGAGATCGAACTCCTTGTACGGGGCTCGGACGAAGCACTCGATATCAACTCGCTCAGGGGTGTGGCCGAATATGATAATTGGGGGAACAAAAATCCAGATGGCTCCGAGCCAGTTGTTGACTGGTTCTGGGAGACATTCCAAGAAGCTACGTCTCAAGATCAGCGCAAACTTCTATTATTCATCACCGGCAGTGATCGAATCCCTGCCATGGGCGCTGCTGTACTACCAATCAAAATATCTTGTCTTGGTGAGGACGAAGGCAGGTTTCCTATTGCCCGAACATGTTTCAATATGCTATCTCTTTCACGGTACGCATCCAAAGAAAGATTGGAGGAGATGTTATGGACTGCTGTTCGCGAGAGTGAGGGCTTTGGGATAAAGTAAACGATAGGCTTGACGACATCATGAAAAGGGCGTTCAAATCATTCATCATATATGGAGTTTGACAACAGTTTCAGGGGTTTTGAGAATATAGATCTACAAAACGGAGGTCCTGAACTAGAAACCGAAGTTGTTCGACATACTCGAGGACAGGTCCTTGAAATCATGGCGGTATTAGCACCACTATAATGTAAATTATACTTAAAGACATTTCGTTGAAATCGTGTAGAATCTCATAATAAGAATGAACAAATGAGGCTTTGAGCGAAATTACTGGTAAACTTTTTGATATTTCCAAGTAGTACACCTGCCAGTTCATGTGGCATAAAGTCATACACATTTATTGTACAGCATCGTTCCTCACTCTTGCCAGAGGGAACATCTACGAATCTTCCTCCTCCACAACACCACCAGCAGCCCGAGCTCGCTTCAACATATCCTCCTCGCGCTGCTTCTCTTCCCGCAAGCCTCTCATGCGTGCGCGGTCGACCTCGGCCTGTCTAGCCATGGCATCAATCTCCTGCAACTCGCGGATCTCCTCCTTCGTAGGCTTGAGAGGAACTGCGCGAGTCTCGGCAAGCACGAACTCAAGGATATGGGATGAGTGCTTCTCGGTCATGTCGACTGTAATGATCTTTTCGTCGGCATCTGGAGGTGTCGCCTTGGACAGGTTGCTGCGTGATGAGGCGGGCTGAGAACGGGTTTCTGGTGCGGGAGTAGAGGCGTCGGGCTTTCGGAGGTAGATGGAGAGTGTGGGCTTCTTCTGATTTTGGTTGTGTCGGTTGACGATCATGGGGACCGCGGGGTTGTGGTACTTTAGTCGGGGGAGGTTCTCGCGCCAGAACTTTCTATCTCGACATATCAGTTGATGTGTAGCTAAGTGCAATACATGGTGACGAACTTGGCACCCATGTGACCATTCTTGAAACTCGTGGCAAAGTCCATATGTATTCTGGTCACCTCCGGGGGGAGAATTGCCGCACCAGGGCCAACTTTTAAGGAAACAAGCTGTTCGTATCGTGAGCATTGGATCGTAAGTCGTCGATTGCGGAGGATATATCTACCTTCTATACAAGTTGTTAGCCATGACCTTGGGATTCGTTATCGACGAATTGACTTACCCTATGAAGCTTGTTGTAACGCTCGCCGAGAGACCTCATCTTGAACTGCGCAAACCCTTGATCGGTAAAGGTGTTACGCAGGTGTCTCTAAATCGAACCAGTTCAGTGGTCGCAATGCCTCGAAAAGTCGACGTCTCTAGGCCCAGAAAATCATACAGACCCCTGCGAGCATTGAAAGTAGCGGGCCGAGCGTTGACCCGGAGGGACACAGTGGATCCACTTTTGACATGCCGCTTTACATGGCAAAGCCGCAATCATTTCCTAGGAAATTTCTGGGATAATCTGTGTAAGTCAACTTTTTTAGTTGCGATAACTCGGCACTCGAATTTCACAGAGGAGGAACGCAATGCATCGCGCATTGTCAGGTCGATGGCTGAATCGGGCGCTCAGTATTGGGGAAGCTTCTGCTTCATCTAGCGTTCCCTTATTTCTATGTCCTACTGTTGGAGCGTCAAGTCGAATTTCTAGAACGCCAAGAGCGACGCCTTTACGAACCCCGATCCATACTCGACGATTTAATCATACCGAAACGACAACCTCTCAAGATGCGCATACCGAAACGCCTGGAACGCCTTCTCTTTTTGATCCCGAAGTTCCACAGAGAAAGTTGCCGTTGAATTGTACTGGATGTGGCGCCTTCACACAAACGAGCGATCCCCAATTACTGGGTTACTTTGACCCAGAGAGCAAAAGAGTGAAGAAATGGTTGAACCCACAGGTTTATGAGCATCGGCAAACAACGACACAGGAGGATGAAGTTGTTGATGATGTTCTCAAGAACTTGGATAAGAGCCAATTGGAGGCTCTTGGAATGGACCCTTCTCTGTTGATCTCTGGGGCCGAGAGACAGGGCATTGCCGCTCCCAGTATGTACTTGGAACTGATCACAGATAACGTGGCTATCGGAGCTAACATAACAACAGAGGCACCCCCCTCAGAGAAACAACCCGTTTGCGATCGATGCCATAACTTGCAGCATTACAGCACAACGAGCGACACGGCAAAGGTCACCATGTATCACCCTACTGTCGAGTCGCTGCGCGAAACAATCGAAGAGTCACCACATAAATACAATCACATATACCACGTTATCGATGCTGCCGATTTCCCAATGTCGCTCATCCCTCGACTTAATGTTTTGCTGGGCGATATCCCAATCAGAACCCGCAATCGACGATCTCGGGCCGCCAAATTCCAGCACGATCGCAAGACGGAACTCAGCTTTATTATCACCCGCGGTGATCTGTTGGGACCTACCAAAGAAATTGTGGACTCGATGATGCCATACTTGCGTGAAGTGTTGCGAGATGCTCTGGGACGTTTGGGAAACAGAGTCCGACTGGGCAATGTCCGATGTGTTAGCGCAAAGCGTTCCTGGTGGTGCAAGGAGGTCAGAGAAGATATTTGGCAACGGGGAGGTGCGGGCTGGATGGTTGGTAAGGTCAATGTAGGCAAAAGTCAACTATTCGAAGCGGTGTATCCCAAAGGTAGAATGGGACCAGTGAACGGTGCTGAACGAGCATCGGTGTCAACATATCCTCGACAAGTCCTGAGTGCAGAATCAATTGCCGCCAAACCAGCTCAAGAGGAGGACTTGGACGTTGGAGATTTATTACCGCCCCCTCAGCCAGCCCAGAACTATCCCGACATGCCTCTGGTGTCCTCGCTACCAGGCACAACAGCTTCCCCTATTCGAGTCCCATTTGGAAATGGAAAGGGCGAGTTGATCGATCTTCCCGGTCTGGCACGCAGTGACTTGGATTTATTTGTGAAGGAGGAGTCCCGTCAATCGACAATCATGAAGAAGCGCGTTGTGCCTGAGCAGATCTCGATGACGCCTGGCAAGTCGCTCATTCTTGGTGGCGGTCTCATTCGCATCACACCCAAAAACCCCAACTTGGTATTTCTCGCTTACAATTTCACACCCTTGGACGAGCATCTTACTCAAACCGAGAAAGCCGTTGCTTTTCAGGAGCAGACAAGAGAGTCTATTGGCGTGCCGAGTATCATGCTGCCTGGTATTGGAGACAAGATGAAGCATGCTGGAACATTCAAATTGTCTTATGATGTCACGAAGAAGAGAGCCGGTCCTCTCACAAGGAAGAACGCTGTCGGTCTGAACGTTGACAGACTACCCTTCCGAGTGCTATCAACAGATATTCTCATTGAAGGTGTGGGTTACGTCGAGCTCGTCGCACAAGTCCGTGCTCATGAGGTCGCTTTGAAAATGTTCGACCAACACCAGCAGGCCCGAGACAATGAATATGTTCGACAGAAGGAAATCGATACCTCGGATCCTTTTAGCGCAATGAAGGCTCAACGAAGAGATACAGCACCTGTCGTGCAGCCAAAGCGGAAGGAACCTGAGCCCCCAGTTGATCCTGGGTGGCCAGCAGTCGACGTCTTCAGTCCTGAAGGTCGATTTATCGGCTCTCGTCGACCTATTAACGGTTGGTTGAACAACAAGCCACGCGTGTTGGCGGAGCATAAGAAGAGTCGACCTCGAAGGAGTATGAAGGGTGCCAAAAAGAAGGTGAAAGCTGAGAAGAGAGCAACAGCGAGTTGATTACTGCTACGAGTTAAGCTGTATGATGAATGAGTGTAAGATTTGACGCTGTATATCATGCCACTTGTATACCATCTAAAAGTATAGAATGTACCAAAATCTTGTACAATAGAATTAAAAAGAATATCAATATCTTTTACGGGAAGAAGTTACAGTTTCCGTTACTTGGCGCCCAGTAATGCATGTGTAAGTCATTAAAGATCATCCAATTGACACGCGATGACGTGGGGCGAATCAACCCCGGATTTTTCTTCGCGCCCCTCCATCGATGATCACTAAAACCCGATTACAATTCATTCCTACTATTTGCCAGACGTTTCTGTCAACAAACGCATGATAACCGCAACCACCCCTTCTGCAGAACTTTTCCTATCTTCTCTTCCTAGATTTCTGCTTCCAACAACCACCAAATAAAATCCCAGCGCAACTACCAGAAGCGATCGGAATCATGTCGCAACGACAGCAACAACGAAGCGCACCAGCGCCCTCACAAACACAAACTGAAACACCATCACAAACGCCAGATACGAGAGAACAGGCCCCCCAGATTTTGCGACTTCGCGGTGCGCATACTTCCAATGGACGATCTGTGCAGTGGGCAGAGGATGTAGTAGACAACGAAGGTCTCGGACGTAAGAGTTCAAAGGGTGAGCGATATGGATCATGGCTCGCAATGATCACATGCTAATACATATACAATAGTGTGCTGTATTTACCATAAACCCAAGGCGGTTGATGAGTCCAGCGACGAATCATCTTCAGATTCCGACTCCGATTCCGACTCTGATCGCGACGGCGCACAACCAGCAGGCGGTAAGCGCCAGAGTTGCGGACATGGACACGGACATAACCATGGACGAGGTCGCAGAAATGGGAAGGGAAAAGAGAAGAGAGCACCAAGTCCGAATGCATACGAGAAAGTTCCTAAGCCGAAACCGAAGGATGGGCCGTCAGAAACCAAGTCATAGAGTAACGAGGGTGGCGGATCGTCGAATAAGAAGGATACAGCACTATGAGCACGAATCATGACGAGATGAGAATAGATCTATGAATGAAGTATTAGATGGTTAGAATGCTCTCGCGAAGATACAAGAGAGTGTGGTCAAGAAGCGCATGGGTCAGCATGCAAGGTCTGTGGCCATGTTTTATATAAAGGCTTATCATTCACATTTCCTATTCATTTTTTTTTTTTAATTTTTTTTTTTTGGCTTGCTTGATGCTGAAAGTCTTCATTACTCTGCACCTTCAATCTCCTTCTTTCCGCTTTCAACCACAAAGTATCTTCCTGCTGTCTTGCTCGCTGTACTCAGAGCATCCCACTTTTCCGCATCGGGTTCGACCTTTTCTCTCACTCTCCTCGCCCGTTGATAATGGCCTATGCGAACTTCCTTGCCCAACGCCTCTTTTAGATCTGCAAGCCCGATTGTCACCTCCTGTCGGGCTTCTGGTGTCTCATCTCGAATCGCCCTTAAAGGCTCAACACCCGTTGTGTCGACCTTCTGCACGGCCCGGACGAATTGCAGCTGGCTTTGGAGAGTGTTGATCATGGCTTCCTCATCGGCTGGTGAGGTGGGGATTGGTAGGGCTGAGAGGCGGAGGAGATGGTGAAGTTGTGAAGGCGTGATCTTTTCTACTGGTGCTGAAGATGGCGAGGAGGGGAGAAGACTGCGAACGGACCAGGTAGGCTTCTCGAGGATCGAGGCGGCTGTTGATGGTTTGGTGGTGATTGATCGAGTTGTCGTGCCTTTAGCTGAGTTTATAGCGGTGCTGCGCCGGAGGGCGAGACGACAATGGGTACAAATTGACATTATAACTGGCTTTCTTAAGTTTGTGTTGTTTTTATTTCGTATATGCTCGAGGGGTGATCTCTGCGTGTGGTGGTTGATCGTCAACTTATTCAATAATCAATTTGAGATATCGCCCATCATGGAATCTTCAATCTCGAATTGCCCGTAGCGGGACGCTATCTGACAGAATGTGTTACAGCAACCTAGGACCCGCTAAACTGTGGCTCAGGCGACCCCGTCGTCATAGCTCAGCCGCCAACCACGCCGCAACACCAGTCGACATCTTTACTTACAACCATCAGTCAGCTCTTGATAACTTCAACGTGGCTCTTTTTCTCCTTCTGTTTTTCATTCCAACTTTTACTTGATACCCCCTTACACGAAACCTCACAATCATGGCGCAAGACCCTCGAGCTCTCCTCCAGAAGGTTCCGCAACCCCTCCCCCGCCTTGATCTTGGTCATGGCCATTAGCGACAATCAATCTTGTGCTGACGCATCGTAACTTCCAGGCTCAAAAGCAGCTTCAAAGCGCCGGTGGCGGCTTCAGCTTCTTTGGTGGACGAGAGGACAAGTACCAAGAAGCTGCCGATCTCTTCACCCAGGCCGCCAATGCCTTCAAGATGCAACAACAGAGTATGCCTTTACCGCTTTGTCTTAGCATCCTCTCTGAAACAACAGCTGACACTATGCGATTGTAGACCTCGAGGCCGGAAAGGCTTTCGAACAGGCCGCGCAAGTTCAGACCGATAAGCTCAAGGAGCCCGATGATGCTGCCAACACTCTCGTCGACGCCTTCAAGGCCTACCGCAAGGACGATCCTCAGGCTGCCGCGCGATGCTTGAACATTGCTGTGGATCGATACTGCGCAAAGGGTAACTTCCGCCGCGCAGCTTCTCACAAGGAGAACCTTGGTGAGCTGTACGAGGTGGATCTTGGCGATGCGAAGAGCGCGGTTGAAAGCTACGAACTCGCTGCCACTTGGTACGAGGGCGATAACGCAGCTGCGTAAGTCGAATACTGTGCTTTTGCTCGTTCATGAAACTGACCCAAAAAAAATAGTCTTGCCAACAAGCTGTGGTTGAAGGTCGCCGACGTGGCTGCCCTTGAGGGCGACTACTACAAGGCCATCGAGAAGTACGAGAAGGTGGCTGAGCAATCAATCAACAACAACCTCATGAAGTACAGCGTCAAGGACTACCTTCTCAAGGCAGGCATCTGTCACCTCGCCAGTGGCGATCTTGTCGCTGCCCAGCGTGCCCTCGAGAAGTACCGCGATATGGACCCATCATTCGGCGCCCAACGAGAGCACCAGCTCCTATGTGACTTGTGCGAGGCTATCGAGGCCAAGAGTCAAGACCAGTTCACCGACAGATTGTACCAATTCGACCAGATTAGCAAGTTGGATAAGTGGAAGACGACGATCTTGGTCCGTGTGAAGAACCAAATTGAGGAGGCCGATGATGAGTTTGCGTAAAAGAATGGCCGAGGGCGATGTGAACACCGATATGAGAATGACTTGTGCATAGCAAAGACGGATCAAATTAGGATACGAAATGTTATAAGCACCAACAAGAGCTTGAGGCTCTGATGTTAGCAACACAATACGGTCGAGGGTGGGGGGACAAAGCTGAGATATCCGCGTTTCTGCTTATTATGGTTTTGAAGTCATCAAGCCAGGCATAGAATCAACATAACTATCACAAATATGATGTTCAGGACACAAACATACACCGAGGTACACAATTTGTATGGGAAACAATCCTTAATCATAAATGCTTTTCAAGTTTTACAGCCTGTAACGGAAACAGATGCTGATCAGTGAACGGTTCAACTAGGTTGGTTCAAGACGTCTTGGATTTTCTTATTCTCGACTCATGTAGTAGATTCATTACTGTCTAGGTACATCAGATTCCTTCGCAGCCTTGACTCGACAAAGGGAATTAACTTGGCAACTCCATCAATCCTTTCTGTAAACCCAAAGTCATCCAAAAGTAACGCTTATGGAGGATCAGGGGTACTGCATGCATACCTTAGGACTGCCACTTATCCGACTTGGTAGCCTTTGTAGCACAAGTCTTGGGAACAGTGTATGTGCGGTTGGGGTCCTTCTCCCAGGTGACAGAGCCGTCCTTCTTCACGTTGATATACTTGTACTGAATGTCTTGTCCTGCTTTGAGAGGAATGGTGGCCTTCCAGACAGTGTTAGAAGAGGTATAGTCAGAAGCGCTCAGAGGAACGGCCTTGGAGGTATCCCAGTTACCAAGGGCAGGAATATTGCCAACAATCTTGATGGTCTCGCCGAAGTTTGTGGTAACAGTCTCAACAAATGTGACAGCAACTGAAGTTGCGACAGCACAAGAAGTAGGTGAGCTGGTAGGCTGGGTGCCTGTAGGAGATGGAACACCACCCTTGGGTGTCTGCGAGGCTGGGAACGATGTAGCAGTTGCAAGCGAGTATGAGCCAACAACAGTATTAGTTCCACACTGTTGAGGAACAGCAGCTGCGCCACTCGCCCAAGAAGGAGGGACAATACCGGCTCGGCGATCAGCAGCAGAGAGGAAAGCGGCATATGACCAGGTCAGGTCAGTGGCAGAAAGGGGGCGTCCGTTGTTCTTGTCGAATTGCTCTGCCAAGGCGCCGTTGTCGCCGACATATTTCTGAACGATGCTCACATATCCATCAGCATATTTTGAAACTGCGTCGGTGATGCTCTTGAAGGTTGCAGAGTCGCTAGCGTAGGTGCCAGTGGAAATACCGGAGACAAGATCCTTGAAGAACGAGAGTGAAACGTCGTTGACAGTGATGGATCCCTTCTGCTTCCAGACATAGAGAGCATCGTAGAGCTGTTCGGCGGCGGCAAGAGTAGCAAGATACCAGGGGTTGCCGTTGTAGTAGACATCTTCGACATATCTTCCAACAGCTACGGCACTTCCCTGGGAGATGCCCTTGTTGATGTTCCATGAGCGGAAAGAGTCAGTTACGGCCTTGTGGTTGGCAAGAGCCTTGTCACTGCATGGTTGGAAAGTAGCGGCATCGCAGCTCAGAGCAGGGTCGAAGTTGTGAATGGAAGTGAGGATACTGTTGGCGTCCTTGCCAGTGCGTCCGTCATTGACATTGACTGGGAGATCTGATGAATAACTTGTGTAGCCAGGTGAGGACAAGATACTTACTGTTGGAGTCGACGTATTTACCGGAAGGAATCCAGTAAGTCTGCAAGAAGCAGAGAGCCTGGGGAGCAACGGCGGCGTAGTTGTCTCCTGACTTGCCAAGTTTCTTAGCCAGAGCCGCGCCTTCAATGAGGGCTACGATATGCTGGTCAGTATAGGGGTCAAAGTGACAATGTATTGTAGTAACGAACCTCGATATTGAGAGGCGGTGGTGAAGAATGAACTTCCCTTGACCTCTTCCCACAAGTCAAACCCAGTTTGGTTCCTTTTGATGATGAGAGATTGTTTCGAAAGTTGTTGGTATCTGCACTTACCAGTATTGAGCTACGTAGTTAAGATCGTTGCGGACAACAGGCCAGATAATGTCAGAGGCAGTAGAAGTGTAGCCATTCTCGATCAACCAGTTGGCATAAGTGATGATAGCAGTAGCCCTAAGAGCTGGGCCGTCTCGTTGAGGTCGACCTTTGCATGGAAACGTTAGTCATGTTTCATAGGGGTCAAGGGGCTGCATTTTTATTTGCGTATGGATACTCACCCCAACCGCCAGTAAAGGGGTTCAGATCAACTTCGTACTTGGCTTCTCCTAAGCCAGAACCGTCGGAGAGAGAACCAGAAGGGTTGGAAACTCCCTGCAACTTGGCTTGAGAGGCAATGTACTGTTGGATTTTCTTCTGCAAGCCAGCGTCGTACTGGTTGATGAACCTGTCTATGACATATTTAAAGACAAGAGCAGCATCTCTAGTCCAAGTGAAGAAATCTATTGTTTATCAGTAAGACTTTCAGGTTACCTCGGTCTGAAATAATCTGATTATTCGGACTTACAGTCTGGGTCCTCGGTGTCTGGAGAAGCGATAACCACGCCAGAAGCAACACCCTGTGAGTTACAGCCATCAGAGCCAATATTGCACAGGAGCTGCTCGATAGCAATCGAACTCTCAGACTTGACGAAGGAGTCGAGAGAAGATTGTCTCTCCTGTAAAGCTGGTCGGCCAAGAACGCCCTGTAGGGCGACTGAGCCGAGGAGAAGCGCGGAGGAAACGAAATACATGATAGGCTGTATCAAGGAAGCAGTAGAGTTGAGTGAGAGCGATGAGACTGGATCGACAACATTGTAGAGATCCATCGTCGAGATTTTATAGAGAACCGGCATGCCGTCTAGACTATTGCAAAAGGTTTTTGGTGTCGATCGTATACAGGGTATAATTTCTAGATGCCCAATATGGAAGTGCGGAAGTTGAAGCCCTCGTGAAGAACGGATGTAGGCCTTTGGGGGATAGTGCGGTGTGGTTCAAAGGGCCGAATAATTAGAATGAGGCCGAGTTGGTTTCTAGTAGCTTCATGCAGTTTAATGATGGTGGTGTTGTTATTGCTGTTCAGAGGGTCGTTGACATCACATCAACTAGGGAGGCTTGGAAGTTGTAGTTGGTTCTATGCAAACCTATGGATCAGCCAAGTGGTTTCAACGGTCTTTGCGAAGGAAACATTATGATTTCTTCATGTGAAGAGCTTCGTAATTAGGTAGCTAGGTATGCGGTATACGTGAGCAGCAGGTGACTACCGGCTCTTGTGACGCCTTCTCCAATTTCACGATCAGTTCACTAACACTACTAAGACTACCAGGTTCTCCAATACGCAAACAAGAATGTGGGGTAAAGAACCTCTCTGACTACCTGCAATAGGTAGGAGGTTTCAGAGAGCTGCTCACGGATAGGTACGGATAGGCTGTAGGGAACTAGATGTAGTCACCTACTGTACCTGGTAAAACATCCATTCCTAGGCCAATAGCATAGGTGTTTTCTTGTTTCACATGCCAGCCGAGCCTTGATCTAAAGCTAACTTGGTTATCCGTACCTCAGTCTTCGCTTTGACCCTCTAGATAGACTAAAGTAATCCTACGGTTCGTGCCGAGTCTACATGTTCTTCCCCACACTATCTCATGTTGCCATGTTCGTCCATATCCTCAACCCCAGATTGCATCCAAGACTATCACCAAATCCCCAGACTGCATGCATCGGCAGTGGGCGGATAAAGTGCATGTGGCTTAAAGCGCCGAGTAGAATCCGAGCCTTATGCAAGGAAACTGGGTGCACTCTGCATGCAAGTTGTCCTCGGTTATCGGCTGTTGTATTATGCCATCTCACCTTGACACAACATCGCCCATCACGTAAGCCTCCGACCTACCCTGTGGTCGCAATATTGGATGAGGCTTGTGACGAGACCTGACGTATCCGTAAATCGACGAACGAAACCCCAGGCGCCGTTATATGATCTAGTCGAATCTTGGCATCAAATCCGAAGACGGGCCGTAGATCTTGAAATATGATGCTATGTCCCAAGCTTGGAGGAGGATAGGAACACCTTCGCCCAGAAACGGACTGAAGGCCGACATCATACAGCATGAAGCTCCAATATCAAACATGCGCACGAGATATCATGTCCAACCAAGCCTTGCATCATATGAATTTTGACAACCAAGGTTAGGACTTCATTCGTACTCGTTGCTCGGCAACCTGTTGAGGACCCGCCAAAAAGTTTTCGACAGCACTTCAGGCACATTGCGACAAGTGGAATTACAGACATACAGAGGCAAAGACTTCACGCATGATTAAACAAGATTGAGATATGTAGGTAGGCCATGGTTTTCCCCAACCTCACCAGCCGACGGCCTCGGAAAAGGGGGGTGGAATATAGCGTCTCGCTGCAACAACCCCTTCACTCAAGCTGCCCCGAAGAGCAGCGAATGAAGCGGCTGAAGAGCTGTTACTCTTGGACCTGTCGATAGGAAAATTGACACCATAACAAGTTGATGGCTCCTTATAAGTTATCGAGCTGCAAAGCAATCAACCCTGACTCCGGAGAGCAGAGGATCGCTAGGCACAGATCCGTGTTTGCTTAAAGAGAAAAGAAAAAAGAATTTCGGGCGGCCATCGCAAGATTTAAATAGACGATTTTTTCTGCCAGAAAAGTGGATTATGTAAGCCGGCCTCACTGCGGAATTACTCGTCACGTCGCGTCGCGCTGAAGGTGGTCTGTGCTCACCAGCCTCAGGATCAGAGAATGAAATAAGTGGTCTAAAGCCTGCTCTGAGTAATTCGTCTCTTATGCTTTCGATGGCCAAGTTTCCAAGTAGTATTTGAAATACCGGTCAACAGGAAGAAGCAACTGGTATCTATGTCAAAAGTCAAATTACTTCATCTCTTATGCTTTCAATTGTCGAGTTTTTGGATACTCTGTTGCGGCCATCATGGGCCTCTGTAGTAGCTATTAGACGCAAACCTACTTGTGATTGGCTGCAGTCATCGAAAAGATGGGTATATGTTACGATCACGTGACTGTATGTGCACTGAGCTCGTCGCAGGTATGTGCACCCTCATGATGCCTACCGAAAAGTAACCTTTGCGTTATCATCATCATTCTATACCCGCCAAGATGGACGCCGCAACGATAGAAGAGACGAATCGAATCCGTATTTCATTGGGCATGAAGCCACTGCCCGTTCCGGGAGCAGATAATTCCACTCAAAATGAATCCATGTACGCCGATGGCGATGCGCCTAGCACCCTCGAGAGTCGCCAGGCGCAGGCCTACGAAAACTACAACAAAGTGATGGAAGCCGAAAAGGCCAAGAAGAAGCGCGAAGAGAAAGCGGCAGCAGTTCGAAAAGCGCGAGAACAGGCGCAACGCAATGCAGTACTGGAAGGCAAGGGCTTCGGAGAGGCAGAAGAAGGTGGTGATCTCAGCGCGAAAGACTGGCTTATCGGCCAGAAAAAGCGACAGAAGAACATTGCCAAAGTCAGAAAGCTAGAGGAAGAGCTCGCCGCTGCCGAGGCTGAGGCAGCAGCAGCGGTTCAGTATACCTCCAAGGACCTTGCGGGCATCAAAGTTGGACACGACACCTCGGGGTTCCTCGACGGTGACGAACAGATTCTCACCCTTAAGGACACAACTATCGACGAGAATGAGGTTGAAGGCGACGAGCTGGAGAACTTGGATATGCGAGAGGCGGAGAAACTCGCCGACAGACTCGACAGCAAGAAAAAGAAGCCGGGCTACAACCCTCTAGATGACGACGAGTCAGGCGAACGTGGTATTCTGTCGCACTACGATGAGGAGATTGACGGCAAGAAGTCCAAAAAGTTTACGCTTGATACAAGTGGCGTCATCGCGGAGCTTTCGGATATCTTGGACAAACCAGTTGACAAGACAAGAAGCGGACAGAATGTCAGTCTGGATGATATCGTTGGTAAGTAAGCACTGTACACTTTGCCAGACGACTCGACACTAATCATTCAACGTACAGGTGATGCCCCTATCTCTTCAGACTACATTGATCCTTCACAAATCAAAGTCAAGAAGCCCAAGAAGAAGAAGAATAAGAAGGGCACCAGACAAAAGCCTACTGATGACGATGATCTTTTTGCTGTCGAAACCACACCTGCAGATGATTCCATGGATATCGACTCAAAGGATGCGGCCGCGAAGAAACGAAAAGCAGTCGACGATACTTTTGTGGACGACGATGATCTTCAAGCAACACTAGCAATTCAACGAAAGAACGCCTTGAAGAAACGAAAGAGGACTCGCCCTGAAGATATCGCCAAGCTTCTCAAAGAAGACGAGAACGGAACAGAAACGGTAGAGCAAGAAGGAGGGCTTGTCCTCGACGAAGTTTCGGAATTCGTTGCCGGATTAAGCAAGCCGGGCGACGATGAAGAGCGCAAGCCTAGAAGACCAAAGACTGTGTCAAAGTCACCAGAACCCGACGAGGACCACCCCATGGACGATGATGTTCATGCAGCTGAAGGGGAGGCCCCCCAGACTTCAGCTATTGAGGAAACGGAGGAGACAGGTGTCGGTGAGGAAGAGAAGGCTGTCGGAGGTGGCATGGGTGCTACTTTGTCACTGCTAAGAGAGCGCGGCCTTGTGAAGGAAGCCAAAGGTGACGAAGAGCACAACAATCTACGCAATCGAGAAGACTTCCTTGCCAAGAAACGCATCTTGGAGGAGGAACTGGATGACCAGGCCCGCCGCCAGCGTGAGCGTGATCGCGCAAGTGGAAAGCTTGATAGGATGTCGCAACGCGAACGCGAAGAATACGCCCGCCAACAGAACACCTGGCGTGATCAGCAGCAGTCTAAGCGCTTGGCAGAGCTGTACTCATCCGGATACAAGCCCAACGTCGAGCTCAAGTACACCGATGACCATGGGCGTGCCCTCGACAGCAAGGAGGCATTCAAGCATCTCAGCCACCAATTCCACGGCAAGGGAAGCGGCAAGGGCAAGACAGAGAAGCGCCTCAAGAAGATCGAGGACGAGAGGCGACGCGAATCACAGAGCATGTTTGACGCAAGTCAGTCTGCCGGTATGAGCCTGGCAGCCCAACAGCAACTCAAGAAGCGAAAGGAGGCTGGTGTACGACTCGCATAATTCACTTTTTATCACAGGATGCTTTTTATGGAAGGATACGAATAGTAATACCGGCAATGGACAATTCAGATCACGAAAAGGTGCTTTTACCCTTATTCATGTGCTCATTTCAATTTTATTTCCTGCTGACGCTGTGAAAGATCTAGATCTAGGTATGTTGTATGCTATGCGACTAACTATACTCAGTATCTTATACTCTGCCCATCTCCGATCTCATTCTCTTGTGGCAGTCTTTATTGACTAGAACCTGAGAGCATGAGCTGGGTTTCGAGTGAAGCCCAAATCACCTCATATCCATTCCTGGATCGTGTAGAGCTGTTTGTTCTCAACGGCAATCTCTTCCCAAACGGCATCCATTTCCTTCAACGTCTGGTCTATCTCTTCCTTGAGAGCCTCGACCGTCTCATTAAGGGTAGGGGCCGACTCTGATTTCTTAGTTGACTTGACTGGCCTGGGATTCAAGGGTTTGGGGGTGAGAGTGTCGGTGGTTTTGGCATTGTCGTTTTTGACAGTGCTGTTCTTCGTAGAGTTTTGAGAAGGCATGGTGATTGTGTTCTTTGCAATTTCTAGAGTGAAGTCAGTGTAATTTTGTAGCCGTGAAAGCTTACTTGAGGATTGTTTTTGGCTTGTACTGGATTTGCAAACTGTTTGTATTCGGAACCAAGTTGATGATGAGTAGCTATTGAAGCTGGTATATTCCATACTTTTATACTGCGTTGGTGGTGCTCCATGCTCTTTGATAATTCATGCACGAGGCGAGGAGTCACACTGAACACGGTGGTCTTCCTTTGTTTGGGATGCTCACTCTTCATGCTTTACATCTTTGTACGCACTGTTCGACTAGAACCACTCATGAACCAGTCATAATACAAAGCACTGTTCACGAGAACATCCCCTTTGGATCATTACACACAGTTCAGGTTAGTGTTGCTCTCAGGTAATAATGAAGAGAAATCAATTTCATGTATCTCAAGTCTTTGTTTCTAAGGAAGAATAGTGGTGATGTGCGCCTCAAGAACCCAAGTTGTCCATACTAGTAGAAAAACCCCTAACTCCAAACATTTCTGTATCAATGTGTTTCCAATCCAATCATCTATAGGCCGACCTTGGCCCCAATACCTTGACCCCTATAGTGAAGTGTTTCAGTCCAGCTGCCCAGCCTCACAGTGACGTTGGCTATGGCATCTAACTTGAGTGAGCCGCCTAGAGCTTCCTTGAGCTTGCCATAGCCCACGCGGCTAGGAGACCACTCTACGGGGAGGCGTGGAGTCTGGGAACGTCCAGGTGTTGCTGGGAACGGCTCGTCGTGTATAATCTGGCCGATGGGTTCTGTGTGGTTGTAAAGAGCAGTGGCGTTGATGTGTTCTATGTATAAAGTGTTGTATAATAGAGGTGAAAGGAGTGTAAAACTGGCTGTCGACGAAAAGAGGTGGAAGGTGGCGTCTGCAATAAAGCGTGGCTTCTCACCCTCGTGCCCGTCCTCGCCGGGGACCGTTATTCGCGGCGCGGGAAGGGTGATATTGATCTTCGACAACGCTTTGCCTATAATAGGAACGTTTGGGATGCTCTTCTTGTGCGTTCGTGCTGTCAAAGTTGTGTTCTCACCAGATACATAGTCTGACAGGAGTTTGCGGCCTATTTCATGTGCCTTCTCGCCACCGAACTGCAGAGGGTCCCACGTCGCATGAACAGGAAGATTTGTGTTCTTTCCGAGATTGAAGGTCACATTTCTTGATATAGCTTCACCAAGAAGCCTTCCATCATGAAGAATATGCACGCTGAGGTAAGGGATAGTAGCTGCATAGGGTGTAGGGTTTGTGAGGTTGACAAGGGCTCTCATCTGAATACTTGTCTCTGTTGTTTCTAGAACCTCGATCTCGCTGACCTGAGGGTTGAGTTTACCGAGCGCATTACCGGGAAATCCTTGAGTCAAGTCAGCATTAGTCCTCAGCACGGTCGTGAGGCGTGTTATGAAAATACTTCAATGTGTAGACAAGGATTGTTTATCCTCATGGGGGATGCTAGAGATTACCACAGCGATGACGGACCGTTTACTGGAATCTTGCCCTCTGCGGGAACCTTCTTTACCGTCAAGATGCCAAGGACAGTTTTGACCTTGACATCGACTTCAGCCTTAATGTCGAGTGTGAGGTCGCCGCCGCCAAATAGTAGCTTTTGCATAACCTCACTGAAGGCATCACCATCTGTGATTATTAAAGGAACATCGACCAGTCGAGATGTGATGTTGAGCAAAGTCTCGTTGTTCTCCTTGTCCTGAACCCGTGTTGAGTTGGCATCCTGCCAGTGTTGCAGGTTCAACTCGCCCATTTTACGTTTCTTGTAGAACAGATCAGCGTTTGCACGGATCTTGTCTACACCCAGGTTCACGTTCAGCTCAGGTGGGAGAGCTGCAAGTACTTGTGCAGTACCCGAAACCCTAGGCTCGCCATCAGGATCGTTAACGTCGGCGAAAGGGTCGGGTAGCTTGAAATCGACGTCGCTCAGGGAGAAATTGCGAATCAAACTATCAAAAGACCGTCCAGGGAAGTCAACAGGAACCGTGATGCTTTCAAGGATATCTGAGATCCACTCCGGAGTGTTCGTGTCGTTGAGCTTCTTTCCTCTCACAAAGACCTTGGCATCTTCGCCATGCAGATAACGATCCATAAAGTTGTCCAAGGGAGATGACTCGGAGTGAGGGCATGCTTTGATTAGAGATTCTGGGATATCACGAATGGTTCCCTTGGCGTCAGCTCTAACATCTGATTTGGCATCAACGTCAATGGGGTCCGTGACAGCTTCTGCAACACTGATAGACGGCAATGTTGAGTCGCAGTTGGGCACCAAAACCTCGAAACCAAGAGTCGGTACTTGGAACGAGACTGGGTAGTCGTTGTGGGCTTTCAGGGATACGTCGGCCTCGATGACTTCTCGTCCGTGACCATCTACCGGGCGATCGTGAAGATCCATGCGTTCAATGTTGTATTCAGGCATGTTCGGGATCTCATTGGCTATAACTGTGTCAGTCGGGTTCTGGATAGATATAAATGCTTGCTCTAATTAAAGTAGTGATTTCTTTCCTAAAAATAAGGAGGCAAAGGAGCGGTAGAGAGATTGACCTTCGAAAACCATAGATTCTGCCACATCATGAGACCCAAGTGGGAAAACTCCGGACTGAAGGTGAACCTTGGTCTTGCCCACCACCTTCAACTTGTTCAGATTTCCATCTAACCAATCATTCGCGATCTTGCGAATGTGTTCGGCATCGCCAGGATTGACCTCTGCCACAAAGTCCAGTTCGTTGGTGTGGCCGTTAACAATGTCAACCACCAGAGGAGGAATAACAGCAGTGCCAGCGAGAGCATCAGCATAGTCGGGTAGGTAAACGTTCACGGTCGTCTCCTTGGTCTCTAGTTTCCGCATGATACCGGTCACTGCCTTCCCGATGCGGCGAGAGTTCTTGTCGTCGACCCGCGATCCATCGAGATACACCTTTGCACGGATACGCGCTCGGATGCCGTCGCTAGTGATATTCTCGATGGACAGGTTGGTGGGTTCAAGAACCGCAGCTTTCTCGGCGTACTCCTTGACGGCTGGGGGGACGAGAAAGCCGAGGACTATGATGAGAATGACGATGATGCCAAGGATGACCATGGCAATGATGGAAGGCCATCGCCAGGCCGATCTAGTGCCAGTACTCTTGTTGCGTCTTGGCCAGAAACTCCAGCCCCGCGACTGAGTTTGAGATGAGGTCTCGTCTTCTCCATCATGTTCCGCAGCATCAGCGTGATGGTCGTCATCGGCGCGGCCCAGAAGAGGCGATGACTCGGTAGGGTCCCCTTCCTCGCGCGTCGGCGAGACGAGAGGCTCGGTTTCGTCTGTTGGCATTGTAGGATTATGGAATAGTGAACACCGCTAATAGATATTCAACGCGCGCATCAGGCGCAGGGAGTTTGAGGATGTTTCGCAGCTACGAAGGGGGATATCAGGTTGAGAATCGTCGTTGTTATTTATCAGGGCACCTTATAGGTCAGGTTGATGTAAGAATCAAGAGGAAATCATGCAAGTTAAGGTTGGGCAAGCGACTCGTCATCGACGGGGCAAGTCAGTCACCTCCACAGGGTTTAATTAGGCGCGAGATTGATAAGGATGTAGCGGGGTGGGTTTTGATTGGTCCTTGTCCTTCTAATCCAGGAACCAAGGCTCCTCCACTGACCTGACCTGGGCTGGTGAGACCTGGGGATTGTGATTGGGGGTCTCGAGCGACGTCATTTTTCCATTAAACTAACATACCTGCTCTCAACTATCTTATCTCTGGTAGTTAGGTAGGTAGACACAGAGGATGAAGATTAGGTATGTTATTCTTCTTGATGGGAGGTTTATTAATCATCCGTATTTGCAATCAATCTTTCTAGTAATAATGACTTATAGGATCCTTGATTTATATGGCCTGGGTGTCTTGTGTATCTAGGTAGGAATAGATGCAGAATAGTTACCAAAACAACAGTCATTGTGTTTCTTGGAAGCTGTCTAACGAGCAACTCATGATAGTGATCGCCTTTTTGGTGTTATGGTTGTAGCAACATAGGTCCATTACCAACCTAAGTCAAGAGTCATGCGCTCTTCTATATGTCGCTGCTCTACGACAAAGAGTTCAGCATTGAATGCGCCGAAACCACAATGGTACCTAGTTCTTATCTGGTGGGTGTTAGGAGAATTATCCTCTGAGGCTTATGCTACAGAAATAAAGTAGTCTAATTGCTAGTCTAAGCTCGCATAAAATAGCTAGATTATTTCGTCTCTTATGCTTTCGACGGCCAATTCTTCTGACACCCTGACGCTTGTTAACCTAATGCACATAGGTTAGGTATCCGTACTCACTACTCTGTACTATATATTATCTTAGCGTGAGTCGCTGTGAGGGCTCTGTGGACCAACAGGGAGATCACCATTGCAAATTCAGAGGCCGGTAACGGCTTCTACTAAGAGATGGATCCGCATTGATAACGCATGGGTTTGAAGGTTTGCACTCATTGATTATTTCCAGTCATCAAATTCAATGTCAGTCACAGACTCGAGATATGTGTATTTTCGATGTGAGCAATACCAAATACATTGAATCACAGGTTCAACACCTTTGTTATACGTAGAAAGTCCCGAGACCGGCCAAGTAAAGAAGAAAGAAAGTGGGGCATTGACTCTTTCCGCTTAGGTTCTGATGTTGAGGCGGCTGGGCGGGAACGAGCCGCCTGCTGTAGATGGGCCTTAACAGTCAGATCCCCAGTTCTACGACATCGTCCAATAGTGAGTGACTCTTCATCCGCCGACTCATCTTGACCTATTTTAGCTGTTGATTGAAACAAAAACTTCCTTCTCCAGCCATTAATCTCCCAAACAAACTCAATTGTAAGCTTCTCAACTCATATAAGATCATACAGCTTCTCATTGAGTTAATCAGCACGCACACAGTTCACAATGAAGACTTCGGCTTTCCGAATCGCTCAAGGCGCCGCTGCAGGCCTTCAAAAGCGAGCCTATACTCAGGCTACCACCCCAAGGCATCTTATGACCATTGCTGATCTCACTCCTACTGAGTTTGCGAACCTCGTTCGTGATGCCAACACTCGAAAAATCGCTGTCAAAGGCGGGGCTCCTGCTAGCTACTTGAATGCTGGTCTTGCTGGCAAAGCTGTAGCTATGATGTTCAGCAAGCGCAGCACTCGTACCCGAGTTTCTACTGAAGCCGCTGTGACAATGCTTGGTGGCCACCCCATGTTCCTTGGCAAGGATGACATCCAGCTGGGTGTAAGTCTTCAACTCGTCGTATAGTCAACGACTCTTCTAATGTGTTCAAAGGTGAACGAATCTCTCTATGACACCTCAAAAGTCATCTCTTCCATGACTTCCTGCATGGTTGCCCGAGTCGGACGTCACTCTGATGTCGCTGATCTGGCTAAGCACTCAAGTGTTCCTGTTATCAATGCTCTCTCTGACGACTTCCATCCTCTCCAAACAATTGCCGACTTCCTCACGCTCCACGAGACTTACCCCTCGGCAAACGCAAAGGGAGCTACTCTAGGCCTCAATGGCCTCAAGGTTGCCTGGGTCGGCGATGCCAACAACGTTCTTTTCGACCTGGCCATTGGCTGCGTTAAGATGGGTGTCGATATCTCAGTCGCTTCTCCTGAGGGATACGAGATCCCCGATGCTATGAGGCAGCTCATCGTCTCCGCCGGCGACGGTGTTTCCTCCCCTGGCAAGCTCATTGAGACTAATGTCCCTGAGGAGGCTGTTAAGGACGCTGATGTTCTTGTCACCGACACATGGGTTTCGATGGGACAGGAAGCCGACACTCAGAAGCGCCTGAGGGACTTTGCTGGATTCCAAATCTCTGACGATCTTGCTAAGCGAGGAGGTGCTAAGGCTGATTGGAAGTTCATGCACTGCTTGCCTCGACACCCTGAGGAGGTGACCGATGAGGTATTCTACAGCCCTCGATCTCTGGTTTTCCCCGAAGCCGAGAACCGCCTTTGGGCTGCTGTTTGTAAGTATCCACGCCAATCATCTTGAAGACATATCACTAATATCATTTAGCCGCCCTCGAAGGCTTTGTTGTCAACAAGGGTAAGTTCTAAGGCTAAACCAAATGTGAGGCATAGATACATCTGGTATTTTTGGATTGCAGCACGGGATGAAGACGGAGCATTGGCGTATGTGTAAAAAATAGTAATTGGAATTATATCAACTAAACCAGATCCTTTCCTTAAAAAAACGCCATTGGGCTAAGCCTTTAACTGAAGGTATCTGATTTAACCGGGAGGGAGCTGGCTGGCATCAACAACCTCGTCCGCCTCCATGGTGAGGGCCTCCTGGTTGGCCTCGGTCAGAGGAGATCGGGGCAGAGCCATCAAACCTGTGCGGGCAGACTCGAGGATGCCGAAGGGGGCCACAAGCTTGAGGAACGAATCGATACGGGACTGCTTAGCGGAACTGAAGTAAGAAGTTAGTATTGTACATTTCGCGTAAGGGGATAAGGGAAGCAACATACACTTCGACGATGCAGCTGCTAGTGCTAATATCCAAAACTTTGCCGCCGAATTGATGAGCAAAGTAAGTAATGGACTTAAGATGCTCGTGCTTGTGTCGGAGAGCTTGACTGACAGCAAGCTTGCTGGGATGGAAGTCCTTGGCGGTATCGGAGAGGCTGCGCTCAATGGCCTCATGAGCGTAGTCGACCTCGGACTCGCCGGCAGCAATCTCACGGTGGTGGTGAAGGAGCTCCTCGAAGTACTCAGGTCCAAGGATGTTGATCTTGGCAAGGAGAAGCTCACGCTGGACGAGGGCGGCGTTGGTGTAGTCAAGGACAGCCCAGACAGGGACCAGATCCTCAAGCTGTCGGCGAGCCTGCTCAACAACGCCGTCCTGACCAGTGAGGACAATGGTCATACGGGAGAGATCATCAACCTCGGTGTTACACACGACCAGGGAGTCAATGTTGAAACCGCGAGCAGCAAGAATACCAGAGACGCGGGACAAAACACCGGGCTCGTTCTGAACAAGACAGTTGAGAATGTGTCGCTTGGGAGGAGCGGTAGAGGGAACGGGGGTCTCGTAGAGAATGTTGGAGACGGCGGACTGGGCGGACCAGGCAGGCGGGTTGTCGCTCACGGGCAGAGGAGCAGAACGGCGGCGGATGGCCTTGTAGGCGAGGGCAGAGGTCGAGGAGGAGCTATATCGCACAGCGGCGACACCCCTCGCGGGGGCAGCCCAGCGAAGGGGTGCAGTCAATGACCGTAGAGATGCCATCTTGCAGAGACAGGAGAACGATAAAGGGTTCTCTGGTCAGACAAGAAGCTTCTCGTGACGGTAAAATAGCAATTGGTTTGGGCGTTTAGGTAAGATGAAGGTGACTCAAGTCAGTAAGAGAGAGCTCGAGGGGAGATGCCGAAAAAATCAATGGGCCACCGATAGGCCGGTGACCGGAGGCTACGAGGAGACGGGGGGCAGGTATTTTGCGGGGGTGCGGATCAGCTCGGCAGGGGTCCGCTGTAAGTTCGGAGTTGGTCAACACTGCCCGGGAAAGCACACCTCCACTGTAAACATAGGGTAGGTAGGTAGCTACGGAAGGTATAGCAGATCAATCTATTAGCACAGCGAGCATAGAGTACATATGATGGCTAAATTCGTAGGCAGTAGATAATGTTGTTGATTTAATTGTATCATGCTGGGTGAAGTTGATAAAGCCAGGTTTGTCTCTATGTAGGTTTGTAGGTGCTGAGCGTGAATGAAGTGTAATCCATTCTCTAAGATCATTGGATCATTATGCAAAAAGACCCAGACAATAGGCACTGATCTCACAAAGAAGAATGAAATACTTTTAACTCTGATTCTTGCTATGTGCTTACATATACCTATTTCAAGACCTAAGGAAACATGCCTTTTGATTAATATGGAAACGCAATGCTGTCGCTGCCGCGCACAGATAACCCCAACAATTGATTCCCCAGATCCATCCATCGTAAACCCATGTAAGCTAAGCCACACTAATACAATTGCCCAATGAAATACGCCCTATCATCCAAAAACATCCTACCTACTAAGGTACGGATTGGTATCTAACAGCTAAACTGCATGGTTCTACTCTAAGTACTGTATTTGATCAATTGATTCTAAGACCACCTAATTTTTATGTTCACGGTTGTCTAAGGGCACCATTGCAGTCAACTTGACCCACATCTAGATACTGCTAGTAATCGCCGGTCTCGGGTGCTGTACGGGAGAGCTCATGTATCTGAAGCCATGCGCCACGTGTGGCGCAAGAAGCACCGTCTACCAGGGACGTGCGTATGGTCTGCAGGAGATTTGTCGCCTTTCTTTCCATCGACGATCAACATTCCACTCCACTTCAACACATGCGCATTTTGGTTGCTGTTTTTTTTTTTCCTACGACAGGCATAGATTAGATCGCATTGCACAGTGACGATCTAGCAACGAACAGTGCACTTCCAGCTCAACACTTAACGTCTGACGTGTAGTGTTCAACCAGCTTATCAAATTTCTGTCAAATTTCGCATCTCGCCTGGCATGGATGAATCCGAACGCCGGACGGTGAAGCGCTCGCGCTTCGACCAGACCGAACCAGAACCTAAGAGAACATCGCGATTCGACCGCCGTTCTCGCTCTCCTCCGTCGCGTCGCTCTGAATCTGGTAGAGACCGCAGTCCCATCACGAAAGACGCAACTCCAGAGGCAAAGAAATCCCCAAATGATGCCGCCGCTGCCGCTGGTATGTGTTTTTGTTTACTTTTGGCGCCGTCTTGCAGACAGAGCTTGCGCCGGCTCTAACTTCCAACGACAACCACTGACAACGCTGGTAGCTGCCGCCGCCGCTCGAATCAATGCTTCTCTCCAAGCTCGTAAAGGTATTCAACACGTCGATGTTCCACCCATCAGGTCTGCCGACACCGAATCCCCACCACCGCGACCTACTTCGACGCCCCAAACTTCGAACAAGATCGCCCCCCCGCTCGATAGTGAGATGTATGTCGCAGATGGCGACTACATTCAGGACATCGAAGTCAATGACTTGAGGAACCGTTACCTTCTCACAAAGGGGGCAACACAAAAGATGGTAAATACTCTTAATTTCAATCCAAAAGTCTTGTTTCGGATTGTCTTTTGCACTTGGATCGAGAACATCATGCTTACGGCTTGATAGCTCGCTTCAAGACCCCTTTCGTTGCTCCTGCTGACTCCCGCTTGATTAGATCAAAGATGAAACCGGTGCTGGTACGCAATTTCTCTTAATGCTTTAGTAGGATGCAATATTGACTTAGCAAGATATTACCACCCGCGGCAATTACTATCCTAACAAGACCATGGCCACGGCCGGTGTAAGTAAAACAATGTTTTCGACTGATGACTGTTCTAACCGCCCATAGAAACCTCCACTGTACCTCCACATCACGAGTACCAGCAAATCTGGTCTAGAGGCCGCCGTCGCTAAAATCAACGAGCTCATCCAGCAGGAGCTCCCTCAGCTTGTAGACGAGAGACGATTCCGCCGCCGAGATCAGGAGCAGGTTGAACGTGATGAGTTTGGAAGAGTAAGGGTTCTATGACTTGGTATAAAGTGGATGCTGACAACTTACTTGTAGCGCAAATGGCCCGAGGAGAAAATTCCGATAAGCCTAGAGCCTGTACACGGTTTTAACCTGCGCGCTCAGGTTGTCGGACATGGTGGTGCCTATGTGAAGCACATCCAGCAAGAGACTGGCTGCCGTGTGCAGATCAAGGGCCGGGGATCCGGCTACCTGGAGGCGGCTACTAACCATGAGAGCGATGAGGACATGTTTCTTCACGTTGCGTAGGTTCAAACCTTTTCACTACTAGGGACCCTGATCTGACATGTTTACAGTGGACCTGATGCCAACATGGTTGAAAAGGCAAAGGAGCTGTGTGAGGATTTGATCGCAAACGTCAAGCAACAATACGAGGAGTTCAAGAGTCGTCCACCTCGCTACGGCGGTGATCGCTACGGTGGTGACCGTTACGGAGGCGATCGGTACAACGGTGGCGGCGACCGTAACCATTCCCACAGTGGTTCTCATGGCGGTTCCCATGGTTCTTACGGCGGCTCTCACGGCGGATATGGTGGTTACGGAGCTAACGCAGGCGGTGCCTCCAACAGTCCAGCGCCTGCTGGTGTGAACAGTCCAACTAATGCTGCCGATTACGCTGCCCAGTACGCACAGTATTATGGTGGCGCGGACCCTTATGCTGCCTATGGCGGTTATGCTAAGTAAGTATCCTCAGATATGTCAACCATTTTATACTAACGTGGACACAGCTATGTCGCTATGTATCAGCAGTACTACGGTGCTCAGGCTCAGGCTCAGGCCCAGACACCTGGCGCTCCTGGTGCCCCTGGGCAATCAGCATCACCACCCCCTCCACCTCCAAGTGAAGCGGCTCCTCCGCCTCCTCCACCCAGCTCGGCGCCCCCGCCTCCTCCCCCTTCTGGACCTCCACCTGGAACTGGAGGAAGCTATGGATCGGTATGTATTATTGAGACTGAGGGAGTCACCTCGCTCTGCAGTATTCTCAATGCCCATAGATTTGTGTTAACATGTCACAGGTCCCTCCCCCACCAGGACTTTAATATGCACCCCACCAATATGATGAGTATCTATGCTCACAGCCAGATAATGAAAGAAAAAGTCAGTCATTAGAGATGGATATCATTGGCTCTGTACGTGAACTCTCCAGTTTGCATTACGGAAAGAAGGGTGTTGATCAGGTCCCATATACGATTTCGCGCTGTTGAGTAGGAACCCGCATCGACCATCTTTGCATGGAAACGAGAAATAGCAGTTCTGCTTTCCAGTAGGTCGCAAAATTGTTTTTTGTTAGAAATGACTAGATTGCAGGTCGAAGAACAAGTACAATGGCTGTGAACAAGGTGATGCTATTTGAGATACAATTGTTATCTGACTGAAATACCTAGGGACAGGTCAATGATATCCGCTCGTAATTCATGTAAAAAATAACATGAAGAGGTAAGCTAGATCTGTAAATAATGTGATCATGAGAAGCTACATACTCGGAGAACTCGTATGTAGTTCGGCATTGACCATTGCCTATTGGTGAGGGGTCCGTCGCCTTATCGATAAGGCCCGTCTCTTTGTCGCATCTCCAGATTAGCTCACTCTGCCACTTCCATTGATCACCTATACAAAACCTTGAACACGCGCAAACGTCGCATTCGCTATATATACCCATGAGTGCTTTGCTTAAAACATGACAAAATGAGCCACCAACGATATCCTTCTCACGATCCTGTTAAGGAGCCACATTCTATCTCCCTCAAGGTTCTTCGGTGAGCTAAACATTGACTTCGCAATTCCGGCGTAAGCTTCGTAGCTAACGTACTATCTGCCGTAAAGACTATCTCGTCCATCTCTCGTCACGCAACATCCAATCGACCCCCCTTCCTCGGTCGGCGCATCTACTAAGTCAGCTCCGATCCCAGCATCGCTCGCCTACCACTCCCAAGCCGCTTCAAACCCGTCCCCTTTCCTCCTCAGCCCAGTCGTCAACCTTCCGGTATCATTCGGGTCCGCATATGTTGGCGAGACATTTAGCTGTACACTATGTGCGAACAATGATCTACCTCCGGAGGCCGCCAAGAATATCCGGGATGTGCGCATCGAAGCAGAGATGAAGACCCCAGGCATGGGCGCTGTACAGCGCCTTGAACTCGGCCCACCTAATGGCAAGGCAGAGGCAGATCTTGAGCCTGGTGACACTTTGCAGAAGGTGGTATCCTTTGACCTTAAGGAGGAAGGGAACCATGTACTCGCAGTCACAGTGAGCTACTACGAAGCAACGGAGACTAGTGGTCGTACGAGGACATTCCGCAAGCTTTACCAGTTCATCTGCAAAGCATCACTCATCGTGCGCACCAAGGTGGGTTCGTTGAAGGCCGATGACATCCAGGGACACGGACGATGGGTGCTTGAAGCGCAGCTAGAGAACTGCAGCGAGGACGTGGTGCAGCTGGAGAAGGTCGTGCTGGACACGGAACCTGGCCTGCGGTATCGCGACTGTAATTGGGAGGCGAGTGGGAGCGCAAAGCCGATGTTACACCCGGGTGAGGTGGAACAGGTATGTTTTGTAGTTGCGGAAGACGGGGCCGAGACGGGTGTCGAGGTGACACCAGACGGAAGGATCATCTTTGGATCTTTAGGAATTGGTTGGAGGGGAGAGATGGGCAATAGAGGGTTCCTGGCTACCGGCAAGCTGGGGACTAGACGCGTGGCACGATGAAGAGATATCTGACAACAAATGATACCCACGAATTCCAATGGTTCAGACGGCATTTCATCTGATATTTTCATTGTCAGGTACCGACAACTGTCAGCCTGCGATGATAGAACAACCATAACCAAAGCCCACCGGTGTGTAGAAAGCCGAACCTTCGTTATTATTTTCCAATACGTTGGCTTTGTACCGAATCTCCTGCTGAGCTATATTCTGCCCCCGACATGAATTGCAGATTTCACATGATCATTGCTGAGGATTGGTAGCAACTGTAGGTACGGCCATAGAGTTAACAAGGTCGGCACTCAGGCCCAACCCCCTGCTCTGCCATGGCGTTTCCGTTTTTAGTGACTCGGGATGATGTGCTGCAGGAGATCGATCTGGCTATATCAGATTTTGGTTTTAATACAGACAGGCATAAGAGTGAATTGTCAGAAAACCAGGGGTCAGGCATTATGCCGATACTGAAACTTTAAGCTATGGCTGGGTCATCCTGGTCAGCCTTTCCCAATCATGAGTGATATCAATCTGGGTGAGACGAGCCTGTGACAATCGTCGTAGGAATCTTGGGGATCAGGAGTAAAATGCGGACGATGGGTGTTTAAGTGTGCAACAGCATCCTAGACATCACATTTGGGCGACGACCATGGCGTGATGGTGGGGTTTTGAGGGTGGCAGCTTTACGGATGATATTGAGCAGAACCAACTGCCTTTAAAGATAGGGGTCTCTGGCCGATTTTGTTTCGATCTCACATAACTTTGTTCGTGCTCTTGTAGACCCCATGAAGACTAGGATAATGAGAAAAGGCTCGATGGCTGCGGCGATCAACTAGGATGAGCAAATACCGGGAATACACACAGAACGTAGCCCTAAGATCTCTCACAGCCGTATTGCCGTGCTCAAGGGAAGGCAGGCTTTGGTATGGCTGGGTACGTAACACACGGTCCAACGTGGAGAGCAACCTGAAACAGACGACGCCGTCAAGATGTAAGTTGGGCGCTGCCAATGGGATGCGGCATTAGTATCGTTAGCCATGCACTAAGCCTGAAGGTGCTGTACCTGATGCCTATCTTCTTAGCCTCTTGATTCGCGAGTCACTAATGAGATGAACGTCCATCAATGTGGGTGAGAATAAAGCTGAGCATCCACTTAAGCGGTGCCGTCTCGCGTCAGGTCCCGGTGGATGGGAAGGTATGGCGTTCGTTCGAGAACCGCTTTCGACGATCTGAGTTTTGCTGGAGCTCACAAAAGAACAACTTGACTCAGGTCACAAGCGTTATGCCTTTGATCAATACATACCTACCAAAGGTAACCTGAGACGCAAGCCCGCTCTCTCTTCCGTCAAACCAAGACCGATTTGAACGGATAAGTTGCTGCAGTAGGTCTGGCAGTCGAGCACGAGCATTAGACCACAGTCACGAGAGGCAAAACTGTTTGGTCAATTTGATGCTGTTCCCATCGAATTGGCGCAAATGGTAATCGTCACGATTACACATAAGATCTAAGTTTAGCACAAGTGATCAGCTAATAGCCCACGAGCCCAGATATCTGGAATACCCCTGAATAATACGGCGCACCATTGCCGTCTGGAAGTGTTGAAACAGGATTCAGGGCTAAAAAAAGTGCTCTAAATCGAATGCTTGTTTTTTCGATGTTGTTTCTTTTTCGATTTCCTGTCTTGTCGATGGAGACTTGAATAGGGGATCAGGATTGGCCAACGCGAACCCTGTATCTATCATAGATACCTTAGACAAATGATCGAGTGGGGAGTAGACAGCTAAGTATCCGAAGCGTGTGTTGACTTGAAGATTGTTCACGGATGGAAAGGTTGCTCTCCATGTTGATAGACGTACCTGTACAGTACAGTACTCGTGTGCCATGTCTTAGATGTCGTCCATTTTAGTGCTCTGTACCTGCATCAAAGGCTGGCTCGTGCTTTCGTATTTTATGAGATCCTTGATTAGGGGCGGGCGCATTTTGTTTCTTTTGTTTTAGACCCATCTTGGATATTAGGCGCTCTTGTTCCTGGACTTTGAGCCTATGGTGGCTGCAGAATGCCCCTGGGCTAAAAAAGCCAGTGCCAGATTGGGCAACGGTTCGAATGTCATTGTCGATAGTTGGATCCAAATTTTACTGAGACTTTTCTTGTTGGTGACTGATGTCGTGGGATGAAGGTTTGAGAAGATCGGATCATTGTTTGGAGGAGAAAGAAAAAAAGGGGGAATAAAAGAATAGTGATTACCTATTGTTGGCTTTTACTGAGATTATTGCAATGGGAAAATTACCAAGGTAGGTAGGTACCTCGGGCCCGCCCAGCTTGAAGCTCAATACTTTGGTGGCAGGTACAGTAGGTACTGTACATCTGCAGTATCCCAACCAATCACGTTCTTATTTTAAAGCCGGCGTCAAGTCCAGTAATGGAAAGAGTCTTCCATTTCCATCGATATGATCTACAGGGTTTTGTCACTTTTGGGATTCGAGACGGGCAGTCTCACCTGCCTCCCTTGTACAACTCGAGCGTCGATCTGAAAAACAACATTGAATCTGGGAAGTAGTGAGCGTCGTATACTACAGTACATGCAATAGAGAAAGAACGGGTAGAACACGGAGCAGTCCCTTGGTAATTTGGAGAACCCACCTCCATTTATCCATTCAACAAAACCCATAACGCCAAGCTCTTATTGATATGAAAGCTAGAGAAGTAGACTGACGTAGCCGGCCCCAGCTAAGTCAATACCTGCCCTACAGCATGAAAGGAAGGGAGAGAAAAACCAAAACGTCTCACGATGAGTGAGGGAAAAGCAAATATCAGAACCAAAACATTGGGTCGATCACGGAAAGAGAACAATAACAAGCATCGATTAATACAGAATACAATGCGTCAAATTAAAAACAAAGTGAAAAAAGAAAAGAAAGAGAGAAGAAAACAAACCGAAATGAGGACTGACTGAGACGGGTTGAACCAGTCCCACCAAAACAACACATATTGTGCCTCAAGGTCTAATAACATGGATAGCCAAGACATCCAGAGAATGTGTTGCCTTCTAACCTGATCCTATTAACAACCCGAATATCTGTAACGCCGCTCTGCAGCTTGCCTGCACATACGAAAACGGTGAGCGCGGAAGACGAGATCCATAAGGAAGAGTTGAGTTGCATTGACTTTTTCCCTTGTCAGAACATTCCATCGACAAAACTACAGTGAGTGTAAGGCAGCAGCGAAAAGTTAATCGGATTTGCTAGATGCCTCTTCTCAACGGATTTTGACTGTTCGATGTCCCTTCTAGCCGAGTTGAATTAATGCGTTTTAGAGAATGAAGACAAATCACTTTATCCAACACCCGCATCAGCCGTTGTGCAAGCCGTGGTTTCGGCCGGGGCGATATTAATGGAAGATCTCACTGGGGACACACACACGGACCACGACCAAGAGACCCTCCTGTGGTCCTGGTCCTGGTCCTGGTCCTGTGCTCTGTGCAACACCGAACTTTGTCTCACTCTCCTCCCGGGCCACTTGCGCCGCTGGGGAACTGGTCTCCCTGGATATACTGTAGTGCACCAACAACAGAGGCCATACAGTACATCATCATCTCAAGACGACAGCGCATCGCACTATTCCTGCTGCATACGAGTGCCCGCCGGCTGAAGTCAGGCACAAAGAAAGATGCAGCTCGGGACGAGACAGCTCATCAGTCAGTTGAGCGAACCAGCGGTGATGAGTGCCGTCTCTCATATGGCCACGGCATGAAGTATGCATGCTTCCGGGTGAATGAAGCATGTTGATGCAGACAGATACAGCATACCGCATATGCATACGCAGGCACACCCAAGGACCCATGGTTGACTGACGCCTCTATCATCTGCAGTGTTGCACTCGCAGCGTGGCCACCCCATCGGAACCGTTGCTTTGGGAAACGACAACATCGTCTTGGCCTCTTGTCCTTTGTTTCCTAGTAGTATCTCTTCAGTGGGGGATACACCCATGGCTGCTGATAAGCTCTCCAACCAACATCAACATCACCATGAACTCTGCTGAAAGATATTGGTTAGTTGGACTAGCTCAACTAATGTGGCACCTCAATCCTTAGCTGATGGAGCAGAGACGGCGATTAAGTGGGTATTGTTATGGGGACGGGAGGGACATCCATGAAGTCTGGCTCTCGAGGTCGGACTGTTTTAAGACCCGAAACTACCTAGCAAAGTAATATACCTGGCCTGCAGCAGGCCACAAGCGCGACTTTGCAGACGGGTACTTTCTGCCAGAGCAGAACGTGCGGTGGGGTAAAGTGCTCAGAGCCATCTCCCTATGATATAGGACCCTGGTAAGCAACAGAACACAACAGAGAGAAAAAGGCATCAGCAAATATCCATTCGTTATGGCCCGTGGATCCGCTGGCGCCGAGGTCTTTCTCGCCTGAAACCCCTGAGTCTGATGTGCCTGGAAGAGAAGACCGACACGAATCTGGTACACACTCCAGGTACGGACGGGCAGTATGTACTGTAAGTTACTGCACCTGAATGCGTTGATGGCTGTTCGTTGATGGACGCATCTATCAAATAGCAGAGCCTAAAAAGGCGACGGCGTGCGTCTCAAGATCGACGGCTTGCTTGCTTGCGGAATCGGTCAATTTCCCGCGACACCCAAAAAGTTAGATAGATCAGTCAGTCGTAAGGTACAAGATACATTTGTTGCTTGTCAGTAGCCTCGCAAGAGCGAGACTGACTGGCTGACTATTACTGCTAGTCGATATGATCTGAATGCTGTGTTGGTCGCATCTTGATGTCGCTTACTCGGCTGAGATGGTACAATGTATGTAAGAATCCTTGTCGGCCCAGATATCTGATATACCCTGCTGTATTGTGTAGGCAGACACCTTCCAGTTCAGTGAAGTTGGCAGTTTAGACGAAAGTCGGCGGTGAGACTGATGTTGTTGATTGAATGGTTGGTTCCATGATGGATGGAAGGTGGATGGCAGCAAGTATCGCGCCTCGAGTGAATGAATGATCGAGCAGTGTGTACGGATACTGTACTGGGCTGGGCTCGTACCTAGCTGAAGCCCGGGCGCGCAATTCTCAGTGGTCCCCTAAAAACGGTCCCCTACCTCGCTGCAACCCCACGACTTTTGGCGTGTGGACGGTGTGGCAGCTGCTACGAGCCATCCCAGGAAACCCCTGGATCGAAGGAAGCTGGAGCTCGTCCTTCTCCAACTTTGGGAGGGTCGAAGCCGTCAACAGAATGGGAGCTAACAAGATTTGGCCCTGGACCCTGCCTACAATCACTCAAGAGGTACATCCTGGTCTGGTTCATATCCCCATCGACCATCGCCGTATCTGCGCTTGAATCGAGGTATTCGATACCACTTTTCATAAGTACCTGTACTTGTACGAGACTGCACTGCACTGTACCTACCTACCTGCCCACCCAAAAGTTGCGAACGGGCACGGGCAGATCGACACTGAATCCTCGTTCTTTCTCCTGGACCATTCTCTCATCTCTGTTCTACTCTAGACTAACTCAACCCTCTATTCTATTCTATCATCATCTTTTCCTTTCCTCTCTGTTTCATCTTCTGGATCGTTTTGCTCAGGTGGCTTCCTGGTGTTTTTCAATCGCATCTTTTCTCCTCTTTGCATCAAGTCTCTGAGGTTCCAGTTGGCCGTTGACTCGTCTCTCCACCTTGAAGCTAACTTTTGGCTCCCGTTACAACCGACGTCTGGGCGACTGGCTCATCGCTGTTACTCGCTTTTTTTTTCGATCGGATCCCCTTTATTCACCCCGTCTCGAGTCTCTTTTTGGTCCCAATCCGACCTCGAATAGCGACATAGCCCCGTTGGCTTTGAACAGTCCGCAGCTGGATTTCCTGTTGTCGCTATTTACCTCGTACTCGCCTGATAAAAAAAAGGCCCTGGTAACGGTCCTATCATTCATGACCTAATTGGCAACCCCAGCAACCCGCGACCTGATTTTGTCGATCGCCCACCTCTTCAGGCCACAATCACAGCCATACGAGCAGAGCAACCCAGAGCAAAGCAGCCTGACGGCTTATTTGACTCATCTCCCTCTACGCTCTCCTATTCGTTTCAGTTCTGCCTGCTTGGTGGCCTAGACACCACTATTGACATGTCATGGAGAGCTCATCGACCCCTCTCGCCGATTATTTCTGGATCGCTGGCGTAGAGTCGGTGTCCTACCACGATCCCAACTCGCAACCCGCACCCGTCGTCGTTCCTGTCGAGTCCACCATTATCGAAGATGGCGAGCCCGAGGATGAGTGGACAAATGGCGACCAGCCAAAGACCAACGCACGACACTCGCGACAAAACTCCGCCAGCCGCCTTTCTAGGATATCTCTCACCGACCGGTTCTCGATACAAACCCTCGACGATACTGACGGCAACACCAAAAGCAACCGCAGCAGTGCCACCATCCGTGCTGTAAACCCCCCCGACTTCACTAATGGCAATGGCAATGACAACAGCAATGCCAACGGCCAGAGTCCTGCCCCCACCGGCATTATGGGCGAGGGTTCCATGCTCATGGGCGACTTCGATTTTGATAAGGCCTTGGTCAAGTTTGCAGCCGAGCGCGAAGTCTTTCTTGAAGACCTAAGTTTTAGTGCGGGTGCAAGAGTACAGGCTCGGGCACCAATGGTGAATCCTCGAATGGAGAGAATCAAGGCAGAAGAAAGTGACAGCGGCAGACTGAGTCCTCTCAGAAGTATTAAGGGTAGCATCCGCCGCAAGATGAGCTTTAGAGATATGAACAGCGTGCGCAAACAGCCCAGCAACAGGATCAGCACAAGTCGTGCAGGTTGGTACTCCCGTTCTACGCTTTGGTTTATGACGAAGCAAACCCCGTTCAATAAAATTTGCTAACTTACAATCGTAGCCTCCATTCGAACAACGAGGAGGCTGAGCAACTATAACTCCGTGATTCCTCCTCCCGAACCTCTCAACACAGATCCAGATATGCATCCACTCAAACGACGCTTCGAGCCGGTTCTTCTCGACCGATACCCTCCCCAAGAGGCAGGAGATGAAATCTCCCGGCGTGGAAGGTTTCCCGACTACGTGCCCATGTTTGCTTTCCCCAACGATATCCAGATAGTTTCGTCCGATGACAGGCCGCGATCTACATGGCACGGCTTTACCATGACCTCAGACGACAACTCTAAGTTGTACGGCATCACCATCATTATCTGGACTGCTCTTAACGCAGATGTGGCCGAGGACGTTGAGAAGAAGTGCGAGCAATGGCGACAAAGCCACATGTCCGAAGAAGAACGAGAGCTGGCAGCAAGCCTAGGTGTCCGACTGGCAGGCGAACGCACTCACCTGTCGCAGCTCCTGGCAAAACTACCTACGATCCCATCAGGCTCCCCCGCTCGTGAGAGGCTCGAAGACGAGATTAGTACGGTAGAAGAAAAGATTACTCTCATGACGGACATGCTTAGGCCCCTGAGACATGGTGCTGCGTCCAAGATTGAAGGTCTCACTGCCGGTGAGAGTGGGCTTTGGGTGCCTCGTGCCTATGGTATTCTAGGCCGAGACGCAGCCAATATGTCTTTCTGGAAAGAATGGCTTAAGGCTATTGTTACGCCCATGACTGATGGAGGTATCCTGAGAATACCCCCAAGCTCGCCAAGAGTCGGACGCTGGCAACCTTTGGAACGATATGTCGTCAATCTTTGCACAGAAGCTTTCAACCCCTTAGGATCCAAAACTCAGGTTGAATTAGGAGTGCGGGAACTGCGACTTTATGCTCGGAAAGAAGCCGACAATGAGATTCCCGGCTCTCGGTCTATCGATCTCTATGCTTTGTTCCGTTGTCTATCTCTCGAGAATATTGTCGCCCTGTTCGAATATGCCATGGCGGAATCCCGCATTATCTTCTTATCATCTCACACTAGCATGTTACACCTTGCTTGTCACGCATTGGCAAACCTCTTATATCCATTGAAATGGTCTAGCATTTTCATCCCTATTCTTCCTGCACGACTCTTGTCAGCCCTCGAAGCGCCTTGTCCTTACATCGTGGGTATTGAGCGTCGTTACGATAGAATTGAGCTACCCGAAGATGATTATGTGCTCGTTGACTTGGATCAAGACACTATTGATGCTACGTCACAGCCTGTTCGACTTCCTCGTCAAGCACGCAGGAAACTTATGTCTCTCCTACAAGTCGCGGCCCCCCATAAGCTTCGATATGGCGTTACAACTGGACCTCCTCCCTACGCTATGGAGTCGTTCCCCTACGATGCCTTCTCGACCGAGAACGGTGCACTGTTTAGATCCTCAACTCCTAAGAGCACTCTTGGCAAGTGGGTGTCTCAAAGCTCTTCAGGATTTGGGGAGCCTGATCCGCCAAGCGAGATCCTGCCCCCAATTTTCAACGCTTTCGCCTCGGCACATGTTGAGAATGGCAAATCAGACAGACCTAGCACAAGCAAGTCTGGTAAGACAAGTCCTCAATCGTCTGTATCTCCTGTTTCCATAAACTTCCCTCCCATGCCTTCTACGCCCGTCTCTCGAAGCGACTCAGGATTTGCTCTTGCAGCTACACTTCGAGAGAAGCGTTCGGGTCACTTCGGCGAAGAAAAGATGCGACGCAGCTCCTCCTTTGGTATCGACAAGCACCCGCCGTTCCAAAAGCCGGGCATGCCCTTCCTCAACGGCCATCAAGCCAATCTGTCGATTTCAGCCATTTCAGTCGAATCTCAGAATTCTGTTGTGGGTGGGACCAATGGTGGCTATGGAGGTGGCGGAAATGGGGGTTATGCTCCGTCAACTTACGCGCAATCAACACTTGCGGCATCAACCATCATGCCCAGCATGCAGATCCAGCCTGTGAGGAACACTGAAACCACAGTGTGGGTTGAAGGGCATTGCTTCAATTACATGCCTAAGGACAACTCTTCGATCTGTACCATCTGTAATGACCATGCTGAAGGAGATGGCGTTTATAAATGCACTGGCTGCAAAGTCATCTCCCATGGCAGATGCCTTGGCCATTGCTCACTTGTCTGCCCGGAGGCATTCCATGCTGACCGTGTACGCGCGGCATTTGTTCGCTGCCTTGCCAGTCTTTTGTACACCTACCGCAAGTATCTCGGACGACCTTCGAAGCAGCAAAAGTCCAACGGTCAATTGTATGCCTTTGATATGGATGGTTTCATCAAGAGCCTACCGCATGATCAACATGACTATGCCGCGATGATGCGAGAAACACAATGTGAGTAAACTTTTAAACCTCTTCAGAACTTTTCTACTGGGACGATGGGTTCTAACACGGTTAAATAGGCTTCAATGAATTCATTCATGATCGTGAGATGCAGCCTGCCAACAACGCTGAAATCCGGTTATTTGATGAGATTATCATGGCCAAGAAAGCCCGAGGCCGTTCTGGTTTGTCGACTGGTCTTTCCCGCCTCTCCACGATCCGTGCTTCTCATGGTGCCTCGACCTACGGTGGCTTTGGCCCTCCGCGTGGCGGTTCCAACAGCAAGATCCCCGCTTTCCTTGGTGACACATCTGATCACATCTGGAGGACTGCTTCAGTACCACTACCCAAAGGCAACTTTCCTGGAGAGTATCGTACTGTCGTCACTCGGACTCCCGCCCGTCTTGATCGATCTCTGATGCGAGAGCCTCGATCAATTCAAGGGATGCCCCGTGTAGAGCCAAGAGGCACACGTGGACTCATTCGCAAGCAAGTTCCAAGCATGCTCGGCACGACGCCGCCCACTTGAGAACTGGGAGTTTGAAGAACCAACCACAGGCAATTCGACACAATGACAAGTTGCGACGAGTACTTCTCAATCTGAGTCTCACCCTCGCCCCCATCAAATGAGGCAGACTCAATCACAATTCAAAAAGCAAAAGCAGGAGAATTATTATGTACGATACCACGTTTTGTAATAATCTAGGTGATAATGACGAGAGAAGCGGAGAGGAAGTGATATACAGCCAGCAGGCCAAGAGGAAGTTGGTAGAGTGAGAAAAAGTAGTCAGTGGGAAAGGCTATAAAAGGTAGAACTGTTGAGTGTTATGTGATGAGCACCAGCAGTAGAGCAGACAGAAAAGGAAGAAAGAGAAAGAAACAGAGGGCACTGAGTCTCGTCCATGATAGACACTATTTGGATCTCCGATCTGCTTGAAATGGCTAGCTGTTTGGGCTCGGCATTCCACGAAAATACGCACATACATCCGTACAGCAGACATCACTAGCATCAGCATCAGCATATAGGAATGGTGTTGCACTTATCAAAGGCAAGGGTGGGAGTTATTGGCTGTGCGATTTACACAAAGGAATTTGTTAATGATTGCTCTATCCTCATCAGAATGCATGATTAAAATGCAGCTCCTCAGTGCTAATCTTACACATAAAACTTGGTTCCACAATCCCCTTAAGCTTTTCATAACGAAGTTATCCCCATCTTGTCCAGTCCTGCCTAATATGATGCCGACACTATTCTCGTGCTAAGTGGTCCTGCGCAGCTTCTCCGCTTTCCAGGCGTTCAGGTCTAGGTCCTCCCAATGAATGTCTTTAAGAATCTTGCCAACAAGAGTCGAATAGCGCAAGTGTCCATTCACAAGGTTGCTAACGTTGTGATTCTCGACACCGTCTGCACCTTGGATCTTTTGGAGGCCCGCCAGTCCGAAATGAATGTTGGAAGTGCGATATAAAAACCCGAGAAGATAGTCACTCTCCGAGTAGACATTGACCAGACGACCGGATACAACACTCTTCAAGGTCAACCAAACACGGCTCTCTGAAGGAGCTGGCGTACCCATTAAGACCACAGAATCGACGAGGCCAAACTGACGACGTTCAGCGAGTATCATAAGGCATACATAGATAGCTCGAGCCGCTAGGCTAAACCCAACAAGAGACACGGGGCGATCGCCCTGGATCTTGCTGCGCATGACTGCGTCCGCAAGAACGGCACCAGCCTTTTCGGCGCGAACCATCCCCATGCTCCAGGGGTTATCGATGATCTTGCTCACTTTCATAAGTTCCATTGGCCACGTTGCCTCGATAAGGTTTCTGAAAACTAATATAGTGTCAGTTGTTTCCACCCAAAGCTTGCTCATTGTAACTCACTTGTTCGTGAAGAGATAGCTTGCTTTGCTGCAGCCCAAGCTGAACTCTTGACAACTGTCTCAAGTGCAGTGCCTATATTGCTAAGGACGGTCATCTCCCATCGCAAAATATACACCTCTGCATTATCACCAAGGATCTTCCAAGATCCTGTGAGGTTGTCTTGATCAGTCACCCATCCATTGATAGCAATGACTAGGCGAAGGCGTCGGGACGTAGATGGGATTGCCGTTGCATCTACATAATCCCCCTGAAATTCGTCCCGAAGAGGCACGAGGCCAAAATCTTGAATTTCACGAGCAAAAGACTCGATCATCTTGTTAGTCGGTCTTGCTGTGTATATTCCTAGCATAGAGCCAGTGGATGGACCATTATCCGCCATGGGCCCCAATAACCCTGCAGCTGTTGGAAGTCTCAAGCCGTGTCCGCCATGAGCTGTCCCGATGCCTACAGCGATAAGTTGGGTTCCAAGTCTGAAAGGACCAGTCATGGCAGCTATGCGTGCCTTTGACTTCAGAACCGGCTTGTTCTCATCCTGGCTCTGCTGCGAAGCCTGTTCAAAGGCTGAATCAACTGCCAGTTGACTGAAACCTTGGGCGATTCGTTTTTCTTCCTCATGTAGCACTCTCAAAGGAAGGTTGAGCGATGAGGTAAGGTTAAGAAGTGTCATTCGTGCATATGCAGTGTACTCCTGAAGAGAGATGACAATCAACAGTGAAATATGAAGTAGAAGCTTCCGTTTGTCCAATGGAAGAGTCCAGAGAGAGGTTGGGATTGGGGGAAACCGTCGGGATAATTCACGATCGACATGCGCTGATGGTACTTTGGGGGGACCTATTCTCGTAAGTATTGATTCTGCTGGACTTGCCACCAAGAGGCATGAGGTAGCACCGTCAAGTAGACAGTGTCATCTGTCAACTTACCGGTAGCCAAGGTCAGACCTCCACGACCCCCTCCTCGTCCACCACGAGCGGCACGACCACCTCGTGCACCTCTTGCATTGCCACGGCCACGGCCCCGCATGTTAGACTGAGAACCGTTCGATTCCGTGACGCTGATATCACGAAGGCGCTGCAGAAAGATTGACTGCCACTTTCTGAAGAATACCAAAGCCTCCTTCTTTAGTTCCCTCAGTTGTGGTGTGATAGCCTCTGATTCCTCCTTACCAGCAGATGGAGCTGCAGTGTTGTGTGTTCGTGTGATTTTGGGCATCCCATTTCCCGCATTCGAGTGTCTTGGGTCGACATTCTCTTTGCCATTTGTCTGGAGTGATAGAGCCAGCCAGTGATGATGTCCGATGTCAACTTGATCAATGTTATTCAAGCTCAAGTCTCCGAGAGTAGGGGTGACTGGAGGCGAATCAAAGATGATACTAATATCATTGTGTAATTTCTCGGTAATAGCTGTGATCAGGGTCGTCAGATCGTTTTTCTCGGCGACAGAGAGGTTGCTAGTCAAGTCAACTGGCCTCCGAGGGGCCGAACTTGTTCGCCCGCCGCGGGTCATGATGTCGGCCCTGTGTAGCTTTGGCAGCCACTCAGCGGAGTCGTCGATGAGAGAGAGGCTGCAGTATATGCGATGGAGTCTGTGTGAGCGTTCTCCTTGATCTTTTTCCAGTGGAGGATCCTGAAGATACGGGCTCAGTGTGTGATGGTGACTGGAAATAGGATGATTCAGTTCCTGAGACCGACCTTGGAGTGTCAGCGAGGAATAAGAGCCATCAGATACAGACTATCTGATATGTCTTTGTTTAGTAGACAGAAATGTTGCTCGCGAGAATCATCTCATTCACAAGAATTGAAGGTCAAACAGAGGTCGTAAACAAGTGGTCGGGCGGTCGATCCGTATGCAGTTGGTATAGCAAAGCCAAGTGAACAATGGAGGGAAATGGCTAATAAGAGAAAGCAGAGAGGCAGAAGAAAGAACACAAGCAAACAGGAGATACCCGTGAACATGAAAGGCGTTTACAAAGAAAAAGAAGAAGGAATGCTGCGTCCTAAACGGAAGGAGAGATACAGATGTAGTCGCGTAGTTGCTTCAGTATCTTTCTTGTTGTGCATGTTGGAAGCCGCAGATAATTTGGGGAATGAAGGTACGGAAGGAAGTAAAGAAAGAATGGAGGGCGAGTGACGAAATCAAGACGGGAGGGCAGGAGTGAATGCGGTGCAACTTGAGGATAATGCTTCACTGGCGTTTTTGACAGTGTCGCCAGGTGGCAGGCGGATGTCACCGGCAGTGCCAACCAGTGCTCCTGTCATTTGGACTACCGCGATCGCTTCTATATACCTACCTGCCTCTAGGGACGGGGGGCAATCAAGTGTGACAGTGTGCGATGCAGAGAGTCATTCGCCTCACTTAAACCTGCCTACCTCCTTACGACCTTTGCCTTACCTACGTGTGTCTGCTACTCAAGTACCTCTATTGCGCGCACAGAAACTGTTGATGTGAATTGCTTCAGCTCGGCTACATGTGCCAAAATCTGGCATATTACTGTAGAGCTCTGTGTAACTCGACAAAATCTTTATGTTTGCTGCCGTTTTTCATCTAGTATCACTGCATTTTGCTTACAGTGATCTCAAAGAAAGGTTTATCGCATCTATCGAGCGGCAGCAAAAGATACCTTCGATTCTGGACGAAGGGAGGGGGCTGCGACTCCGTAACGTTGTGTTACTTCAGCCGGGAGGATGCTCAGTATTGGGTTCCCTATCGTTTGGAAGGTATACCAAGCTTCCAATGAAGCATCTGATCGGCGATTTACTGGTGAAGCAACCATGATTGCAATAGAAGACATTAGGTACTCCATCTACAGCCGTACCTATGGAATGTTCATGAATCTAGACACTTGAGCTCTTGATTGTGACGATACTAGGTAGGTACGTCGTGGCTAAACCATGTACAAATCAGAGTGTTGTGTGACCATATCTCGGTCGAGCCATCGGTGAGCACGATGGGGACTGTGCGGTATCTGCGGATACTTCGTCAAACAGTTGGTGATGGATTGGAAATCAACCGTCTTGCATTATGGAACTCTTATAGAAGCTTCATGGTCGACATATTATCAGTTATTCAACCAATAAGATTGAGTCATCTCTTTAATAGAAGAAGAAATGCGGACGCAGCAAAGATATTATCATCCTTCCATTTCATGATATCTTTGATGTGCCGGTACAGCAAATAGCGGGATACGATTTCCGCAAAGAGGACATGAGATGTTGTCTTCCATGTCCCAATCATCATCATCGTCCCCTCCATCCTCATCCTCATCTTCTGACACATGGTGTCTAGGTTCATCATCTTGTGCGACGTCTTGCTCTTCCTTCAACTGGAAGGGCCTAAGCACTTCATCTTGACGTTTAAACATGACAGAAATGTCCCTGCCTGCTCCCATCTTGTCATCCGCTGCACCAACTACCATATTTGCCACACAGATGTTGAGCATCTGCAAGTTCCACCGTTGCCCCTTTTCGGGCGATAGGCGGCGTAGCAGTGGTAGCAGAGTATCGGAGACGAGCCTCTCTGCGATATGTTCTATGTCATCCTTGAAGTCAAATACATAGTTTGGTAATGGTCCTGAGCGGGAAACCCGACCATACGCCTGCCCTTGGGCTGAGTGTAGATATGCCCAGGACCTCAGTGACAAGCGCAAGGTCTTGGGTCGCGCAATCCATTTTTGTGCTCCTGGAGCGTCTGCCCCAGTATCAACCACAAGGAGGTCTATCCTCATTCTTCGAAGAAGAGAACAAGAGAGCTTGTGCAGTTCTTCTGTAATCTGTGCCATGGTATCTAAGCCCTTGTACGTATCCTCGATACTAATCTGACTCGGCACATCACTGGCTTCCTTGACCTCGGTTGCGTCAACTCCGTGCAGCAAGCCCCAGATCCGCACACCTACCCCTTTCTCTGCTCCGGGTCCCATTAACAGAGTCTCTATAGTCGCGGGCGAGATGTCAGGATGGAGTCGAATATCGGCAACAGTGACAGGATTGTCACTTAACTCAGGGATTTCGGATACGCCCTTACTCATGTCAGCTCCAACACGGGTTCCTAGCGCCTGAACAGTCTTGGATCCTAGCCCAGGTATCCTTCGTAGCTTGTGAGTGTCTACAAAAGCTATCACCTCATCTTCGGTAGTCGCTAGTAGCGTCGTTTGATTACGAGGCTTATTCTTGCTACCCACAAGCTTGCTAAGCATCTTGTTAGTTGAAATCCCACAGGTGGAGGTAAATCCGTATTTTTCTTCTACTTGAAGTCGTAGAAATTGGGCAAGATGTGATCCTAATACGAGGCGTAAATAAGCTGGGTCCTTCGGGTCAGGGGTGGAAGAGGCTGTGCCTTCGACACAGCCCGCGATGCTCGTGAGATTGCACTGAAAACCCCGTTCGGGGTTATTTCTGGAAAGGCAAAAGAAGGAATTATCTAGGGATGCCTGGTTAAGACAGGAAATGTTGTATTCGATGATGTCGGTCACATCTGAAAGGCAATACGCCTGGTCAGTATTGTAAATTGAGTGAGGCGCAATACGATAACATACCCATAAACACCTCATCAAATCCCAGACGCTCGGCCTTATGATTCCAAGAAAAACTCTTGAAGAAGTTGAAGAGGATTTTGCTCATGTCACGAAAAGGTGTGAGATCCTCACCGTCTACAAGGACGAGCTCCGGGCACTTGCGTCTCGCTTCAGAGACGGACATAAGTTTTGTGAGACCACGGGCACGGGCGTTGTAGTTGCATGTTGCTAGGCAATTCTTCTGCTTGACACCCAATGGCAGTTTTTTGAGCTCTGGTTTCTTGTTCTCAAAGACCTGCGCGTAGAAACAATCATAGTCCTTTTCAATAGGTCAGCAAGAGCTGGATCACGATTGTGAACGGTCAGGGTGACTTGAACGAACGAATTGTAAGATGATTCGATCATCATTCCGCCGAGGCCTTTTCTTGCTGGGCGGTTCCATGCCTACGCTGACTGGTAATTATAAGATGGAGGAATGGGGACCGTGGTCTTGTGAGTTTCAGGTTTACGTAGACCAGGAGCAGGAGTCTAGAATTGAGGACGGTGTCTTGGGTGAGTCGGGGTTTAAGAGAGGCGTTTGTCTGGAAAACAACAACACTTTGAAGCCATAAAATTGAGCATTGAGGGACAATTAATAGGAAACAAACAGAAATTGAACTGAAACACAGTATTTAGTGAATCATTATATGTTTTCAACAAATAAATCATTCATTCAGGCATCTTACAATCGAGCGAGACCTTCCTTTCCTTCCCACTAGTAGGTCTGCCTTGAGGCCGCTGCAATCTTTGCCTGAGGTGTCGATGCGTCCCTGCCCATAAAGGAAAGCACCTATCTGAACATTGATGAAAGGAAGGAAGGAAGACACAGATGAATGTGATTACAGTACATGCTTGCATTTTCTAGCAATCCTGTCGCTTAGAACTTGTCTTGTAACCATTCATTTCATATCCTGTTATTATCTTGGCATCAAATTCAACCAGAAGTACCAAATGTTGACAACCTCACCACAAGGCCTTTCAACGAGCGCGCCAGTTCGATATAGCGGTGGAGATGCATGGCGCAAAGTAGGATATGCTCGATGCTATGTCAGTCATATTCTTCCTGCAAACATCAACGCCTCATCCTTGCTTTGGATAACATGATAGACGCGATGCTTGGCCGGTCGGATATTATGAGAACTTCTCTAAACCCGCAGGAGGAATCAACATTTGCAGCCCAGTCAATTCTCATTTACCCCGACTTCGCTTCCGATCAGAGGCTCTATCAGTTCAAGTTCATCTCACTCTGGTCCCCCGCTCTGACCCTTGTCAGAAAGACGTTACCACCCAGTTTCGACCATCCACAGTTGAGCTATAACCGCCCAAGTGCGTGCTTGATTTGCAGCTAAAAGGTTGTCTGGCTCCTCCAATCACATCAACTCCCAGCTTTGCAAAACGTGAATTGATACAGGCATGCGATGTTTGCCGCAATTTGAGTTTATCATTGAAAGGAACTCTTGGTTTCCATCAACAATCGCTCTCAATCACATTGTCGTGGTTGTTGGGGATTGAGGGCCTTTGTCAACCCTAAACGAACGTAATTTCAAAGAGTATGGCTGAGGTTTCGAGAACAAGGGCTGGTCTTGCTTGAACCATGGCTTGGAGCATGGCTGAGCAACGTCTCCACTGGCGTTAGTTCTTTGTCTGAGCACAGGCAACTATCACAGGATTATTGTTGACCTGGACACCGTCGGCTTTGTTCTTGAGCGCAGAAGAAAATATACGGCATGACGATAAACATCCACGAACCAGCCTTTCTTTCTTAACCTTAAGCACTACCGTTCGAAGAGCGGGGGGACGATACCAGCCCTCTTGCATAGACGCCAGCGCGAGTGAAAAGAGCCGACCGATTAGCCGCGTGATTGGGTCTGGTTGGAAGCTGGCCAGGATCATACTTCTGCTTGGGCGCTTGCGCCTCTAACGTTTCCCACCAAGTTACTGTAACGAGCCAACCACAGCATCTCTCAATGACATATCCTCACCAATTCGGTACACCTTTGTCAGGTCGGGCTTTCAAGGGCAGAATCCTTCTCAACCCCTTGACAGCTCCGCGTCTACGCCATAAGAGGATTGTCACACTGCATGCATGGCTAGGGGCGCTTGTTTGGGTGCCAGGACTGGGTCAAAGAAAGGCTGGTTGCCCTGGTTCTACCTCCCCGCCCATCATTGACCCAGTGTGATGCATGTCTCAATGTCTATCATCCTATATAGACGCAATGTCCTCGTTTCTGGGCTGTTTGTTCGTGATGTTTCTGCGTTTTGACATTGTATCAATTTCCTGATCCCTGACGGTTCCAGTCTCTCGGTAACAGCGTCTTTGGCTAGTCCTGTTTGATGTTGATTGCCTGTTGGTTGATACACTTAGCCACCTGCAACAGCACGAGGGGATTCAGCAACTCGTCTCTCCAGTGTTTGGTATATCAGTCTTCTTGATCCATACATCCAACTGGTCTGTCATCATGGCCTCTTCTCAAGCTCTGCCCAAGAAGCCTCGGCTCTCTCTTCAGATCAAGACAACATGCAGCCCGGCCACAAGATCATCAAGGAGTTATGCAGTTGATCCCAAGGATCCAACTGCCTTCAACACGTTATCTAATGTCTATGTCACCACCATTGAAAGAGCTACTCCAGCTCAGCCTGAACCGATCACTGCCATAAACACTCTACAGGCCTTCAGCCTTACAACTCCTGTGGAGCGTCAGGATCCAAAGCATAGAGTTGTCACGCCTTACGTTGCTTCATATCCCGAAACTCCTTCATCCGACACTGCACCATCACCACACCCAGGCTTGGAGATTAATTATCCAAGCACCATGACAGCTACGCCTCCGCTGTCTGCTGGTCCAGTCGATTCGCACACCCATAAAGCCTTTAGCTTCTCGCCTGCCGATATATCAGCGGCCCCAGCCCACAAAGCTCACTCACAGTCCGAGAAGCGCACCCTCACTCGTCCATCAACTCTCGCGGAACTGACCCTACAAGCACCTTACACACATCCCCGTTCACTTCATAGCATCTTGCGCAACTCACCTCTTCCTCCACCCACTGCCATTCCTCCGCCTTCTCCTCGACGACAATCACGACGTCTGCAGGACAAGGCCAATAGACGGGTGTGTTATAACAATCCTCTTACACAGGAGATTGTAACCAACAAGTACACAAAATCTCACATTGACTTGCTTGTGGAAGAAGCCTCGCCTCATTCACCCCCATGTGTTCCCCCACAGCCCCAAAACGCCATCGATCTCGCTCTCGCATTCATGCCCAATGAGATCCAGGATGGTGGACAGACTCCTGGGCCTTTCGAGGATATGCGTCGCCGAATGACCGGCTTGGGTGCTTCAAATACACCAGCCTCACCAATGTCCCCCTCAGGACCAAAGGGTATCTCGAAGCGAAAGAAGAAGGAAAAGAAGCGCCGTTGGGTATGGACGATCGGACAAGAAGACGATGATGACGACGAGCATGTGGGAGGATCTATCGCTGCCTTGCGAGCTGAGGCTGCGAAGGCCAAGGATGTCGATGATATCAAAACACCCGTGACTGCCATCAAATCACCCCCGGTCACTTTTCTTACAATACCAACACCGAGCACGGATAGTTTTGAAAGTCTGGATAGCATGTTGTGTGGCAACGACGATGTCGAAATGTCTGACACAAGTAGCTGTCTTACGACACCAGAAGAGCCTCGGTATATTGCTAACGAGATGGACCTGGACATAAAAACGCCGATTGCTCAACAAGACGAGAGGGAAAGTTCAGATATACTCCTGCTCCCCGATCACAATGTTGGCGGCGCCAGTGTGAAAAGGGACTCTCCAGTGCCACCTGATATGCTGCTGCGTGCGGAATGAAAGTCATAAGCACGAGCAACATTTTGATTCTTGTATTTTTTATTTACCAACCATTTTGCCAAGTTTTGTCAACCGGCGTTTTATCACTTGAGTTTTTGGGGGTTGGGTTATTATGATACCGTGCTCGCAAAGAGCCTTTATGAGCAATGAATCTATCAAATGAACAAAGTGAAATATGGTGTCTGTCGCTGAGTTCCTGCCATCTGTGTCATATCTTACCATCGATTAGTATATAACAATACGGTTTCTGACGTTAGCAGTTTGGAACATTTGATCTTTGTGTTTTTGTCGTAGTAGCCCTCGTAGTCACGAGGGAATGTAGGATTGGATAAGAGCGGCATTCGCTGTTGGTATTCGAAGGATTCTATAGGACAAGTCAAGTCTTGCTATATCATGGTTGTGGTCGCATCTTTTAGCAAGGCGTTTAGAGTTCACGTTTGCTGATTCGACATGGATATAAGGCATGGTGTCACTCTCTGGTCTGCTCTTTCGTACCAGCTGTTAAAGACTCAAAACGACAGGGGAAGGACACCTTTCACGTCCTGAATGAAACATTGCTAACTGAGAGTATGATTTACTACTCTAATTATAATAATCCCATTTCAAACGCTCAAAAGATCAATAATTTCGCAATAACGTAACTCAGCTCTCAATAGACAGGGCCTTAGCACCAATGAGCTTCCCATCAGCGTGAGAAACAACCCAATACTCGGTTCTCGTAGAATCTCTCGATACCTGGTAGACTCGCACGTCGTTTCCCTGAGAGGCTTCGCGGACAGCTTCAATGACGTCGGTGTACTTGCCGTGAGAGTCCCAGCTCAAAGGGTCGAGGATCTGGATATCTGCTGAGCTGGGAGAGGAGTGATTGATGAGCTCAGCGAATTCGGCTGTCCGTGTATCAGTATCTGACTATGTATGCAAAATCCTCTTCGCTTACTCTCTGTTGGTAGACCATTCTTGCCCTGCCACTTGAGAGATACCTCCTCAAAGGGCTCGTCTGCGTCGGATGTGTAGATGGCCTTTTTGCATACGTTGCTGATAGCCTTTGGCACCTCAACACCAGCGTCCTTCGCTTTGAAAACAGTCTTCTCTTGAGTAGAGGCGCTTGCGCCAGTGTCTTGGTTAGCCTTGTTCAAGAAGGCCATGTAGTCGTCGTCGTTTGACATCTTGAGGGGTTGTGAGGTACTGAGTAGTCGCTGTGAAGGTTGGAGGAGAGGGAAAGCGTTCTGTCCGCGAAGAAGAATAAGACTGAGATTCAGGCTGGTGAAACGTCTAAGAGGGGTTCTGAGTGTCATTGGGAGAGAGAAAGATCTCGGGCGTCAAGACAAGCACAAGCAGAAACACATGCGCATGCGGGTGCAAGTTTGGGGTTGTGGGGTGACGTCAGGTTTGTGATAGACAGCAGGGGTGGCTCAGCCAACCAGAATGTCTAAATCGACAACACACTGAAGATGCATCTTGGTTAGAACATCTGCTATACTCAATGATATACCACGTCATTGTTTCGTTGTTTCAGATTCCAGCTCGTCTCAGTCGACTCAGGAACTTTGCATCCTTCAACTCTTCCATGTCGATACCAAAGAATTTGGCATACATAGGCGCCAGATGATGAGGCCCACAAGGTCGAGCATCACCACTCGCGCTTCTCTTATCGATGAAACTAGACAGGAGAGCTTTGACAGCTTCCTCAAAGCTCTGACCTTGTTGTGATACCATGACTGAATCTAAGTCTTCCGTTCCGCTGTCTTCCGTGTGTCTGTCGAGGTTAACATCTACGGTTGCAGCTTTGATTATCGCAACTTGGGTCTCATCGAAATACGGGCCACTGATATAGTGCTCATCCGTAGTATTGTTAATACGCTTCTCTGAGTTGTTGTCTTTCGTGACGTTCAGGAAGTCGTAGAGAAGTACACGAACTTTATAGCCAAGTGTTGGATCAGCGGCTATAGCAGATGTCGTGGTGAGTATATTCGAAGGCGTTGATATAGACGCTTGAGGCTGCGCCTCACCAGCAGCTTTGCTCTTCTTCTTTTCCTTCTTGCCCATCTTTGCATTGAGTAGAGTTTAGAAGTTAGAGAGAAGAATCGTGTTGCTTTCTCTATGAGTTTTATTCAAGGTTTTTTGCATACATCACGCAGGCACGAAACTCTAAGACGCCATGAGCTGAAATGTTCTCTTTTAGTATGATGCAGGCAGCCCATATACTTAACTCTCGCACAACAATTAAGACAAAGGGGGTGTTTGCACAGCACAACTTAGGTAGGTTCCCTAAGTACTATCACTAATAAGATGATGACAATATGTTTCTCTGGATCCCTTCCGATGACAGCTATTCAAGAGCATTATAACAAAGTCGAAGGTAGCTTCCTAACAAGGGATTCGTCAAGATATGCATCTGATTATCCACAATACCACAGCATCTGATACACAAATTCAACAGTCACGGACGAGTTCACAGGACAGCCAAGGTAGAGTCAAATTAACATTGGGAATCTCGTTAGAATTTTTGATCGCCATTCCTCTTCTAGCTGGACTTTTTTTATTCCATGCCAGTTCATACCTAACCCAGCCCAAACGCAGGGCGTAACGAACCAACCCTTGACACCGATGCAATGGAATAGAATTGCTAAGACACAAAAAGAAACATGCTGCCGCTTTAAGCGGAGGCAAGGTCCTTCTTGAGAGTACCCTGGTACTGCTTCTTCTCGGCAGGGGTCTGGAAAGCACCGTGTCCGAACTCGGACGAGGTGTCGATCCACTTGAGGCTGACCTTCTCGAGAGCCCTTCGGGAGGTCTGGGGGAACATGGTCTTTCGGAGGGTCATGACACGCTTCTTAACACCAGGGATGGAACCCTTGAGCATAACGAAGTCGTTGTTGACCTCACCGTAGCGGACGAAACCACCGAGACTGTGACATGTTAGCAACTAAATGGTAAGCAGAAAGAGCGCGATTGACGTACGGAGTGATGGTCTTCTTGGTGACATCGAGCTCAGTGGCGGCGTTGTCGTCAGCATCACCCTTACCAATACGGTAGACCTTGTGGTTGACGGAAGTACGGTGGTGGTATCCCATTTGTCCCGCACGTGCAACAGTCCATTGCACGTGTGACGGGTGCCAAGCACCAATACAAGCGACCTTGCGAAGACCCTTGTGTGTCTTGCGAGGAAGCTTCTTGGTACCCCAACGGGCGGTGACACCGTTGAAACCGTGACCCTTGGTAACGGCAACGACGTCAATCATCTCGTCCTGCTCGAAGATGCTGGAGATGTCGACGGGCTTCTCGAAGAGCTCCTGGCCGAAAGAGACCTTGTCGGCGATGGAGCCACCGTTGACCTGGATCTCCATAAGGTGGGCCTTCTTCTGCTTGAGGGGGGTCTTTCGGATCTGGGTGTGGGCCAAGACACGGACGACAGTGCAGTACTTCTTGATGCGCTCGAGCTCGCGGGTGATGGAGGCACCGTTGTTCTCGGAGTGCTTCTTAGCGTACTTGGTGAAAGCCTTCTTCTTGCTCTTGTACCAGTTCTTGTAGAATCGGCGCTTGACCTCGTCGCTCAGATGCTCGGCCCAGACGGTGGTGAGGGATCGCAGGCCTCGGGGAGTCTCGATGTAGCCAACCAGACCAACAACGATCATCTAAAAGATGTTAGCCATAGGCACATAGCCAAGCGGGCTGCATTGTTCGTACAGGTGGGGTATCGACGATAGTAACAGCCTCAACAATCTCCTTCTTGTTGGCCTTGGCGCCAGGTCGGTCGAGGTCACGGACGATGGTAGTCATACCAGCCTTGTAACCCATGGCGGCAGTCAGGTGGACGGGCTTCTTGGGGTCATCCTTGGGGAAGCTGTTGGTCCCAAAGCGTTAGCCATTGCCATTGCTCCTAGGGGAGAGGTTTGCAGAAGAAGTTTTTTTCATTCCTCCTCTTCGTCTTCTTCCTCCTGGTGTTGCAGAAAATACTTACGACTTGACCTTACCACGGTGACGAGCAGCGCGCTTCCTGGGCAGGTAAGCCAGGGAACCGTGGCGGGGAGCCTCAAACTTTCGGTGCTATTCACATTATCAGTATCACAATGCGAAGCCATTGTCATCGACGCCAGGCTGTACTCACACTCATCTTGGGCGGGCTGTGTGGTTTGAGGGGGTTAGTATGAACCTGTTGAGCGAAGCCTGAGAAGAAAAAGTAACAAGGTAGTGGGCGATGGATTTTGTAATTTTTAGGGTTAGAATTTCTGCAGTTAGTGGGTCACGTGATGAATAACAATTGCTGTGGGCTGTGGCCGTTCGGATGTCCCGCTTTTAGAACTTCGCCTGCATGACAAAATCCAACTGCGAATTTTCAGCGAAAACCTTCATTGGTCCGTGCGTCTAGTTGTGTGACGGTTACTCTGTTAGTAGCCATAGTCGCAGTATCAAAGTATCAGCTCAGCATACATTACATACATGAACATGAATGCATCACCTACAGACTGGTCTAGTTTGAACACAGAGCAGCTGAGTTAAATGAAAGCTTAGCCTACCCATATACCCAGCATAGATCCTATTCACTCATCCCAGATCAAAGAATATTATACCGTCTTCCAGATCAATGAGTATTATCCATCATGCCAGTTGAGTCTTACAAAGTGGACATAACAAGATACAATCCTCAGGGGTACTAAATGGTTCCGCTTGGATCGACTCTGATCTTCTCCAGTTTAAAACTACATAGAATCCTGTCTGTCAGACTGCCACGCTGCTCCTCCGGACGTGTCAAAGGGTAAGGTGATTGTCTAGTCTAGGTAGTGGGGCTTTAAGCTCTATGTTCTGCTCAGCATATATCTGAATTCCTTGATTATGATCCACAGAATGACATAATTATCTTCTACGGATTTGACTTCATCTGTGTTAATTACCACTCTCATAGGTGAGTTAAGTCTACATTGTTGTTTTGTCGTGGAGGCCCGTAGGTAACTACAATGAATGTGAAGTTTGAAGACCGAGAGAAATACTATGAGTGAAAGGTTGAAAAGATAAGTATGTCTTGATGGGAAGGGAAGATACACCAAGCATACAACAAAGTCGAGTGGCGTATCTGCTATAGTTACTGACATGTTGATCTCCACGTACTTATCTTCTTCATCACATCAATAGCCATGCTTGCGCTGACCTATAATTTATCTGCAACTATATATACTCCTAAATTATCTCGAGTTGTCTTGCTATAAAGTTCTTACTACAGTTAAGCAGTGTGACCTGCACGATCATGCCTTTCACCGGTTAATTATGCCCAAGTATTGTATGCTCTATCTCCATTGGTACCAGGTATAATTCGGAAAGGGACTTCAACCTAACGATTTGATCGGATGCAGATCTGGTTTATCTGTTTGGTCTTTGTATTTCGACTCTAGACTTCAGACTAAGCGGAAATACAGGAGTGACAACCTCGAGAATTTCGCAAGTTGCAAGCAAGACACCACAGGACTGAGTAAAGAACTGGAAACCCGCCCGCAAACACGGGTTTTGCGGCCTCGCTGAGTTATATGTTACAAGAGAAGAGTAAGATTTCTTATTCGTGTAGTTCACCGGTTGACATTTTACTCTTTCAACCTGTAGGACTTCTCAGTCTGAAAAAGAGCCACGTGACCCGTCTCTGCGTGTAGCAAGGCTTAGTGTGACGATGCTGATACTTAGTTTTTCACCTTAATTGATTCTCATCAGTTTTACAGACAGATACAGCAGAGATGGTTACAACTGAAATTTTATTGATCAGAGTAAGGAAATTAATGTGCATAATGATCTTGTTCGCTAGTGACTTCGTAGCCAAAAAAAACAAGAGACCATAACCCCGGCAAAACCCCCGGTTTTGGAGTGTCCCTCAAACCTCTCCATCCGCACAAAAGAAACCATGCCCCGATAATAATGGTGGTATACATGAAAAAAGATAGACTAGTCGACGCAGGTAAGAAAAAGAAATCTTCAACTCGTAACGAACAAGCAGCAAGTCAAATTATAACTCATTCAACTTTTGGGGCGGCGGAAATCCCGTTTACACCAGCGTTGGCAGGGGTTGATGTCTTGACGTCTCCAGCTGCAGAGCCAGGAGCAGAGCCATTCGTGACAATGGCTGCCTTCTTCTCGTCCTCTCCACTGTCGTCGTAGTCCTCATCGACTTCCATCTTCCTGGCTGCTCTTTCGGGCTCAGAAACGGGGGCTGCGCGGACGGGAGGGGCATGTTCAAGACTTGGTGGACGCTCCTCTTTAGGTGTTGACGCAACTGGAGGCTTCTCATGAACGACTCCGGACATGGGAGTTGGGGGCCCTTGTTGCATTGGTGGTAGATGGCTAGGGCCAGGAGCATGGCTGGGAGGGTGGTGAGCAGCATCAGAAGGGTGGTAGCTCTCAGCAGCATGACGAGGGGCTGATTCAGGTCTACGGGGCTCTTCGCGGCGTGGCTCTTCGGGTCGGCGAGGATCGTCGACTCGTCGAGCTTCAGATGAGTTACGGCGGTAGCTATCACGAGGAGGTGTGGACGGTCTTCGGTGACGCATGTCATCGAGGCGAACCCGGTTCTCCTCGTTAGCCTGCTTCTTGGCAGCAGACTCCTCTTCCCACTCTCGCATACGCTTGGGTCCAACCGAAGGGGGTCGATCGTCCATCCTCTGCATGGCAGCCTCAGCCACGGCAGGCGGTGGTGGAGGACCGGGCGGGCCAGATGGTCCGGGGGGTCCAGGAGGTCCGTTCTCGGTTCCAGGAGTAGCCATCTCGGGGTGCTGGTTGTACAGTGGAGGTGCTTGGTGCTGGGGATATGCCGACTTGGGTGACGGCATACGGTTATCGTGGACGGGTCGGCCATCAGGACGAGGGCTGTTGGTAGGTCGGAAAGGTGCCATGCCATTAGGACCGTTAGGACCGTTGATATTGTTCGATGGAGGTGCAGAAGCTGATGCTGAGGGTGCTGCTCCAACCCAGCTGGGGTTTGCAACACGTCGCTCAGAAGGCGGGGCAGAGGGTTGAGACTGGGGAGGGGCATGAGGCGGTTGGGAGTATTGGTGTCCAGGAGGTGGAGGAGGAGTTTGACCACGGCGAGGGCCATTTCGGCTGGGGTCATTGTAAGGCTGGCGCAACTGCTCCTGCTGGGGGCTTGGTTGTCGCAGCGGTGGTGCAGGCCCTCCGCGGAATGGTTCACCACCCCGAGCTTCATACGGGTTGGGTGGCTGAGGAGGCGGGTTGATATTGGAAAGTCTACCCGCCCAGTTCTCACCAGGGCCTTGAGGAGGCGGTGGGGGACCAGCTGCTGGTGGCTGCTGGGTTGATCCTCCCCATTGAGGACCGACAGGGCCAGCGGCCTGATAAGCCTGGGGGTGAACATCTGCCGGCTGGGGAGCAGCAGGTGGAGGGCCTCCATTTGTGCTGCCAGAGCGAAGAAGCTGAAGTCTCGCCTTGATATGGGGATTATTGGGATCAAGCTCGGCTGCTCGTTGATAGGCATCCAGCGCATCGGTTATCTGGTTGTTACAGCTCTCATACTATGACATATTAGTGCACCGTATCAGGGTAAGCTTTGAGGATCAAGACATACCAGTGTTCCAAGGTCATACCACACCTCAGAGATGTAGGGGTTCAGTCTAATAGCCCTGGAGTAAGCGTCTAGAGCATCTCTGTACTGGTTGATCTGATAATAGAGGACACCAATAGAACACCAAAACGTCGGGTTCTTGCCATCTCTGTATACGGCCTGTTGGTATGCCTCATACGCCTTGGGATACTTTTGTTGGGACATATAGCATCGACCCAAGAGATACCAGCTCTGTGCATCCTGGTTGTCTAATCTCCTTGTCAGTGCGATCGCTTATCAGATGGGGCTTCCTAGTCATACCTGCGTTGACAGACTTCTCCAGATATTGGATCGCGCGATCTTGGCTCTCATACGTGTTGCTTTGCTGGTGATGTAACCATCCAAGCTGTTGAAGAACCTTGGCGTGGTTCGGGGAATGATCCAGCACGCGCTGATAAGCGGCCTTAGCGCTGTCGAACTAAGGTCAAGTTAGATACAGCATCGTTTAGACCATCGTTGTTTACTTACGTCTTTTTGTTGCTCATGGACGTGACCAATCTGGAACCAAATATCCTCTTGAGTCAAGGGTCCAGGAGGAGAGTTGACGATGTATTTGAAACACTAATGGTGTGAGCTGCGCGCATCAAAAGTGGGCACGAGGAAAGGAAACTCACGTCAAGACTCTGATTCCACTTGTTCTGTTGTTTGTATATTATTCCGAGCCGGAAGTAGATTTCGTTGGCCTTCTCAAAATCGGGCTGAATGTTCATAACTTGAGAGAAGGCCTCTTCAGCGTAGTCGTAACTGCCATATCGGTCGTACAGAATACCGATGCCATACCACAGCATAGGGTCCTGGATTGCGAAGTCAGCGGCCATATTCATCAATTGAGATGAGACTCAATCGTCCTTACCTTTGGATCTCGCAGGTTTACCAACGCCTGCTGATAAGCGTCATACGCCTTTTGTAGATTTTCTGTCATCAAGTAACAGTGTCCTGGACCATGGGTCAGCGCTACATCGTCGCATTGAATCAATACACATACCCAAATTTCCCCAAGCTTCACCATTATTCTGATCCAGCTGTACAATGGCTCGGAAGAACTCTAGCGCCTTATCGAAGGCTTCGCGACCCTTGAGAAGAACACCAATTGCGTTCATGGCCGGTGTGGAATTTGGGTTGGCCTGGAGCGCGCGCTCGTAGGCGTGCATAGCGTCCTCTTGGTTGCGCAGAACTTCGGAGTAGCTCCCTAAGCTCATGTTAGTCCATATCGACTTGCGAACGCGACGCGACAACTTACCTATTTGCAACCAAACAGCCTCGTTCATGGCAGCGATCTGATGGGATGGCGCAAAATGTGTTGGCTGGACTCCAGGCGGAGGAGGTGGTGGAGGAGGAGGCACCTGGCCCTGATGCTGCTGCATTTGCATCATGGTCGGCGACGCGTGATGGTTCGCCATGTTGATTGACACTTGGGCGGTAATGGAAGTTGCTACAGCAGGGGCCGACAGCTGATGTGCGACAGACGCGAAGTCGAATTAATAGCAAGGGCTAAGATTGTTTCGCAATCGTGAATCAGAAGCTGAGCGGCAATCGTTGCTGATGCTGCTGTTTTAGGGTTCGTGATGGGTTGGTGACAACGGTCACTGAACTAGCCAACCCGACGAGTAACAAGGGCGAGGCGACGGAACAAAAACGGCGACAGGGTCGCGGTTAAGGCGAAGGCGCCGAAATAACAAGCTGATACAAGGAAAGGTCAATGGGAGGTGTAGACCCTATTAGATGTTTGGTGATGGGATACAAGACAAACCCGAGGCGCGATGGATGAGGCCTTTCGCGGGCATAGATTGCGTTGTGGGTGAAGAAAGTGAGGAGTACAGACAGGATGTGATGGGATGGGGAGAAAGGACGTGAGAGCAAACCAAACCGATTGATCCAAACTCACCTAACCCACGAGTAGCGGGCATATTAAGCGCACGGCCGGCGTAGAGTGGTATGGAGCATAAAGCCCACCCACACTAACTACACTCTTACACTCCCACGCCCCACCCATACTTCAACGCACGCGCGCTCAAGGTTAACTCACACCTCAGACTCAGACTCTCAGTTTCCGATGCTGTACCCGGCAAATCACACCCTGGGACTGGGGCTACGCTACGGCTACGGCCACAGCTACAGCTACGGATACAGGACAGGGCAACCTTTACTGGTGGCGGCGGTTTACAGGCACGTACCACCTACACGCTTCAGGTACGTACCGTCTCTGCTGCTCTGCCTGCCCTACCCTGCCCGAACGGGCTGCAAGCACCTCGCAGCTCCATTAAGGTAAGGTCTGTCTGTATGAGATAATTATGGAGCATGAGGTCCCTGTCTTCCATCGCAGTCTGGCATCTGCGACGGATCAGTGGCGCGTTCCGCAAGCTTCAACTGAAGGGGGAGCGACTCAGAGGCTCCGCTCCGCCCCAAGACTCACAACTCTACCGTGGTAGCTAGCGATCGACGAGTTGGACAGGTTATGAGATTCTGGTGTTGCAGTATGCTGAAATGATTGCCTGGGCAGAACTGAGTATCACTAACCATCCCATAGGTACAGCTCGTCATTTCATCTCACCTTCATCCCTATTTCTCCAACGACACGTTACGTTTAGAATATTCGCCGCCTTTTCTAGTGCGTGTGCCCTCTTCGTTGGCCATTATGTTAATCAACCTCTTGCATCGCGACTGGCTGCAACACTCTTCGGTGCATCTTAACGCTGATCGCAGAGGGGCGGATGGGCAAACGTCATATTAAAGAGGGTTCAGCAAGTGCAAGGCTACTGTACCCATTAATAACGTTTTGATTAGTCGAGCTGTCAGGGCGGTTGGCAGTTCTGCTACTGGACTGGCACAGCCAGAAATCTCGTGCCGTCAGATGTTACAGCGCGGGTGGAAGTGGAAGGCTGTCAACAACATGCCAGCAACTGACAAGAAGCGAGCAAAGTCGCGCACGCACGCACCGATGCTGCGGTGGTGTTCATCTCGGGGTGCCAAGCGAAACGATACCGATTAAATCCAGCAACGCACGCACGTCCCCCCATCTCTGTGTGGCGCATCTGAAATGTGCGCCAAGATGTTCGCCGAGGTACGTACTGCTGCACTGTCAGGGTTGGGTATGACACTGAGGTTAGGGATGGAGGTGAGACAACGGCAGCAAAGTGATGGGGTAATAACGCAACGAGGACGACCACGATCGACATTTGCTGTTCTAGAAAGGGACAGCCACAAGTTCAGGACAGTGTTTGTTTGCGACAATCCCAGGAGACGGCATTAATTGACAGCACAGGCGAGATACGGCTGGACCTCAGGGAAAAAGAAACTGCATTCATGAGTAAGCAAGTATGTGTGTGATATCATCAGTAATAGATGCAGATTAACCAGAGACAGTGACCAAGAGATAGATAATGGAGATGAGGAACAATTGAGCTGTGCGACTGCGGCACAATCCCGTTGAGAAATGATGATGATGATACAGGTAGGCAGATGTTTGAGAACTGGAGGCTGGCAGACTAGATGACTCTGTGGCTCACCAGGTTGAGGGTTGAGGCTGTGGTGGCTTGACCAACAGTGTCGTCAGGGTGTACTACGTAAGGAAGAAAGGAAGGAAGGGAAATGGAATGGTCAATCTTTTCACCGCTTACCGGAGTCGCCGCTAAGCTGTTGCGGAAGTCCTCCACGTGTTTCGGGCCATCATCTCTTTTCCGTTCTGTACTGTACAGTCAGCAAAAGTCAGGGCAGGGCAGAGCCAAAGCCAAAGCTAAAGCCAAAATGAAAGCGAAAGCCAAAACAAGCCGAGGCCATGCCACACTCCGAAACGGCCTGGCCCTGGTGAGTGGGAGGGAGTGGAGGGGGACCACCTTGACCTTGACCCTAGCCCACCTCGAGAGAAACAAACGAGCGAGCGAGCGGGAGGAAAAGGGGGTTCCCGGGCCCAAGCCAAAGGTACCATTTTTAATACATAGCGCCATTCCATTGCCCTGTCATCCCTCAACGGGAACTTTGACAATGACCGACCTAAGTTCCTGTCACCAACAATCAACACAATGTGATGTTATGTGGTTTGATCTGGCTTTTAATCGTCCGTACGTACGCAACGTATCGCGAAATTGATCCAGGGCTGTGTACCTTTACAACCTTGTATCTCGTCAAGTTTACTCAACTGCCGTCTTGAAATCCTGGGCAGATCGTTGAACATGGGGAAATTTAGACTGCTAGGGCTGCATACCGGTGTATAAAAAAAAACCTTCTTCACTAGGGAAAGCAATGGAATATCTTGTCAATTCACAGAGAGCTCAAGGCGCTGTCGAGCATAAATGCAGCTGCAAAAAGGTTTCGACCACGTACGTTGTCACGAGAAGCGGACCCTAAAAGGCTCAGATAATAGCATCGGTTATGTATTAACCCAACATCACGGGATCTCCTGGGGTCGAAGCAAGAAGAAAAGATGGCCAATGCATGCGGTCCATCGAAAATGATTCAGCCGCACGCGCAGGGCGGACGTTGCTAAAAAGGGGAACAGCCAAAGTGCTTGGTGCTTGGTGCTTGGTGCTTGGGTCAAGGGTTACAGTCCCTCCGTTGGCTGGCTAGCCCGAAACGAGAGGGAACTGGACAGATGCTGAAGAAGCCAATCGGTAGACGCAGAGCTTCTCCGCCGCAATCCACGGGACACTGTAGGTCGGATTAGGTGAGGTGATGCCATTCACTGCAGCGCGCTTGTTGGCGTTGGTGGGCGGTCTGGGGATTGCACCAGAGAAGCCTCATCTCAAGTCACGTACAGTTGATGAAATGAAGTTGCAAGATGGGTGGCTGAGCTTCTGGAGAGGGGTCAGAAACCGTTATTAGAGACAGTTTTTCCCTTATGCGTTTGGTTAGGTACGGAGAGTGGCTTTGTCGTCTTGTCGTCACTCGAATGACATAGCGATCACCCGGGAATAATATCCAGAATACATGGTACTAATAGTATTCGCATAGAGTTCAGCACAATGAGATGAGGGGGACATCTTGTGCAATTGGACGACTTGGTGTCAAGCAGAAAAGAGAAGGTAAAAAAGAAGCCCAGAGCAGAGCAGAAACTGTTAAGTGAGGCTCATTATTGGGAAAGGGTGCCCAGGGTATCCACGGGCAGCAAAGCATTTCAAGTGATAGGATCAGAGATGGGTCCTGTCCTTGTCTCTGTAGACTGAAGACCAGGTCAGGGCTCGTCTAACTAAGCTGGGGCTGTCTGGGCCTTGGGCTGGGCGTGACGATGCAGATGGGGGACGGGAGATGACAAGAAAATGTGGGACGGCCTACAGTAAGACAGTAAGGGGTGAGAGGCAGCTCCGGGGGAAGGAGGAGGGGGGTGTCATTTTACCTGGCAAGGGTAGGGGTGAGAGGGAAGAGGCTCGAAGAAGCAGAAGCCAGAAGCTGTGCAGTGGGGAAAATATGGAGACAAGATGATGATGATGGTGCTAGGCCTGCAGTTTTTTTTTCCCTCTCGCCTGGCCGGGGGAAGAATGGAAAGGACAGGGGTTGGGAGGAACGGTTAGGTAAGACAGATACGTACTCTTTCTTGCAGATCTCATCGTCACTGGAACTTGCCTGACTTGAGCAAAGTCTGTTTACTGTTATGAGGTTTCTTTTGTGTGGCTTGGGTTTCTAAGTGTGGTTCCTAATACTCTATTTGTAGGTGAACGTCATCGTAGAGAGGCCAGTGGTTCAATAGCTCGAGATACGTCGAGGACCCATATGCTTCCTATGTGCTTTTGATGTAGATGGCCTTCGCTTATATGGCGCAAATGTAACAGTGGACACAAGTATTCGGACATTACAAACGTTAACCAGGTTGCAGGCTGTTGTTGGTAGCGATCGTCTTGTAGATAGATACCCTAAACCATGAGCTTAAATGAACTCGCAGAACACATCCATTGATAGAGTCAGCTAGAGTCGAAGCCGGGAAGTTGCAGGACCTCCAGACACAGCGATAGATAAGTCATAGACTGTACAATATGTGATCTAGATATCGTCCTAACTCGCGCAGCACCAAGCAATTCTTGATGTTGTGGTTCTCAGACAGTTTTCATATGCAGTGAACAACGTGCAGCACACATGCAGTGTAACTACATGCCGATTGCTATCATATACATACAGGATATATAAACAAGCCGCACCTGATACGCGAGACAGATCCCCATAATGCATGTGGCTATCGTCTTGAGAGCTACGTGGTACGCCACAACAGGTGTCATAACACCTTTACCCTTGTAGCAGTTTTTTGCTTGGCCGTTCATGTATGCGATGCATAGGCGAAAAGCATATATTTTGCAAGTACAGTACTAGCATATTGTAGTGCTTGGCCAGTCGAGACACCGTCAAGAACAACCGTCGAGACTGAAGGATTCGAGTAGTCTATATGGATAGTACGGCATGGACTGGTCTGCGTCTT